CCTTGATACGTGCTCTGCGTCTTATTATTTCCTAAAAAGAGAACTTTTGTCTCTAAAACTGTGGCCAGGTAGCTATTTAAGAAGATCAGTTCACTCTATGAATCAGTGGCGTCATTGGTGTCAAGTTCCATACGTGGACTCGAGTAGTTAGACGTTACCTTGGAAAACCAATGACCAGTTGTGATCAATGCAGCACAAAGCTGAGTCTGACGCACTGTTCACAAGTACTCCATAGCTCATACTTCACGTATGAAGGACCATTTGCGTATTGAGAATTATGGTGGGTTACCTGTGGAGACTCGTATGGTTGATAAGGGTAATCTTGTTTGCTCGTATACCCCAGAGTAGTTGGACACCACCCTGTGAATTCGTGCACGGGTTGCAATTTTCGCAACACCAAGCTGCGTTCAGGGTTGGCTCCTACTTTGCAGAAGGGTTACAACTAACTTAAAACAGGAAAACTGGATTACCAGCTCCATAGACTTGAATATCTAATTTCAGAATAGTTGAACACCACCCTGCGAGTCTGTAGAGGGTTGCAATTTTTGAGGGCTGGCTTCTATTCTGCAGAGGTTTGAAGACTGACTTTCAAAAAAGAAAACTGGGAACAGCAGCACAAAAAGACTTGAATATTTCCATACGAAGCTTAGTTGAACACAGGGCTGGCTCCTTCTCCGACAAAGTTTCTTTACTTCTTCACCTCTCTGTATAATAACGATAGATAATTACTATCTTCGTAACTCTAAGCTCAGGCTAACGTAGGCTTGGCTCCTACTTTGAGGTTTATATCTCACGAAGAAAATGGGATGATTTTCACTCAGAATGGTGACGAGTTGATCGACTAAGCTTGCATTGGTTTGCTGCGATAATTTTCTTTATTTTTGTTTTTCTGAGAAGACATCAGAGTAGTGGACACCGCCCTGTGAATTGATGGACGGTTGCGATCTTCGCAACAATAAACTGCGTACAACACAGGGCTGGCTTTTAGTCTGAGTGGTGCAAGTGAACAAAAAACTGCTCTTTTCTTAGAAATGTGGTCACACAGCTCTCGAAGCGTCTATTGTTGACAATGACTTTATGAAGAATCCAGAGTGGATGCCAACCTTCTTGTAAACAGTGGAAAGTTGTACTCTTCGCATCAATAGCCCTATGTCTAACGCAGGGCTGGCTCCTCTAACTTGTACAACCTAACAGAGAAAGACTGAAATTCTCTTGTACAGGTGTTCACGTAGCTCTCGTGGCCACCACCACTCAGAAAGAGTCGTTAGATTATCTCAGCGTTCTGATTCTAAATTCTGTTTAGAGTCCACATTAGATCGACGCCATCCTATGAATCAGTGAATGGTTGCGATGGTTCCATCACTAAGTAGTGGTGTCTAACACTAGGCTGGCTCCCGCTTGCAGAGTTCTGAATCAATGAGGAGAACAATGTTCTCAAAGGTGTGTGACTAATTTGCTCTAAAATCTTTTATAGTTGGCTGAGAAACTTTCTCAAATTTATTTCCAATCCACCATTTTACTCATAGCCTAGAGTGTTTCACACCAACCTGTGAATTGATGAGCGTTTGTAATATTCACCTCACCAAGCTGTGTTCAGTGAAGGGTTGGTTCCTTTTCATAATATTACGCTTGTAGAGAGAGACTGGATCTCTTTTCAGAAATACGGTCAATAAACTCCACTCCCTTGAATATTTGGCAAAAGTTGTCTCTATTTGTAATGGTGGCCGGTTACACCCACAGCTGCTAGTAGATGGTGATCATGTGCATATGCGGAAGGAATTGAAATTACAAGAGCTTTTTTAGGGGAGAGGGAACCAGATTTCATAAGACAGGAGATTCACGGTCGATGTTTGGTAGCCGGGTATTTAGAAATGGTGGTCGGCTGTGAAGATCACTTTTGTGAAACCTTTTTTATGTCCCCTTGAGAGTCTCGCACTCCTACTGCAGATTTGTTTTTCTATTTCTGATATTGTTGGACACCACATTTAAGAAACGCTGCCCGTACTCATTTGGAAGAGTTTTTTGGTTCTTCTGTCTTTAAAGCAATAATCGAAAGTTGTTTTCTTCTTTCATGTCTATTTACTAATGAATAGCAACGTTTACCGTTTCCAAACTTTTACGATTCTGTATTAAAAATTGTACAGAATTTTCTTCTAAGATTACTGACAGACTGTACAAAATTAATTACGTCAATCTTTGTGTAATCTTTATGGAAGAAAAAAACTTTCAGCGACGATATCGAAAAGGCAAACAAGAGATGCCGTTGTAAAAAAGGTTTAGTTTAGACCACGCCCACGGTAACGGTGTCCCCTCTCTCAAATTAGGTGCTTACGTTGTGGCAAACCTAATTTTTCGGCTTTTTGACTAATGTATCGAAGCAGCCTTCATTTCAAAGCTATTCGGAAGATTCCTTTTTGTTCCGCTTTCACCATTTTACCACTCTACCTCTAAATGCTTCTGGGGTTATTGGTCCTCTTAAAAGCAAATCTCCTCAAATGTTTAACAAATAGGTATATGAAAATATTCTCTTTCTCTTTCTTTTTGCTCACTTTTGGATATTTTGAAATAACTTCAAATGTTCTTGGTGAAACTGTTAAGGAAGTTGGAAAAGCGGTAATAAAAATTGCAAGCAAAGTTTGAATCTAAGAGAAGAAAAAAAAGTTGTCTACCATGTCAAACTACATTATTTTCTCAAACTTAATGAATGCACCTCGTCAAGAAAAATTTGAATGCAGTTTATTTGAGTCTACTTTATCCCTAGATGTAGTTATATTTTCAAATTAAAAAAAAGGAAGGAAATAGAAGAAGCGTGTTTTCTAAAGCTAAATAGAGAATTCCACCGAAGAATTCTAATAATAACTATGAAAATCCCTTATTTGATGACTCTATTTGGTTTCTCTGTTAATATAGCTATCAGATATTGTCATTCGAATCCGGTGTCACCCTTTCGTAAAGCACTGGAAATAGAATAAAGGGGCACAGCATTTGCCTGGACCCCAACTGTTTCTTTGTGGTTTACACCTTGGACAAGGATGTTTCTAGGCCGGATCGTGACCTTAACATTTCATCGCCAAAACCGTTCAACCTCTCACTATGAAAAAAAAGAAACGAAACAGCACGAAAAAAGACCCTTACAAACAGCTAGAAAAAACTCACAAGTGTACTTCTAAACGCTTAGTGAGGAAGAACTAGTCAAACCAATTTTTCTATTCATCGAAATCGATTCTGGTGATTCTATGATTTATTAACGTCGGTTCGCTCCCCCCTGTGTCGAAGCATTGTGTCAGAGGACCTCAATATCCCTTGAGGGGCCCTTGTGCGCGCCGTGAAACCCCGCTGTGCGCCATTGACAATCTGTGTAACACATTCAAATTTATCAGGTCTCGTTGAGAGAAGATCTTAAGAAGTTTCCGGCGCAGAGCCCTTTTTAATTATAAATGTTGTCAATTCATTCAGTAGCTTCTTTTAATTCTACTAAAATGCAAATTTTTGCTGGCTTTCGATTTTCTTCATGGACACACTTCTAACCACAAACCAGATTTCTTTTCTTTTCCATTTAATTTTCAAAATGTTAGATATGGGTTAACACGTGCTGACTTGTGTAGATATTTTCCCACACGACAAGACACCTTTGCTTTTAGTTAGCATTAGAAGTATTTGTTTTCTACTCTCACACCCTACGGTAAAGATTTGTAGACGAAACAGCAAAGTAGACGATAGATCAAAACACAAAGCCTTGTTTCGCCCTATTATTTTGATAGTGCTATATTCTTACACACCAAACTCAGTATCTTGGATAATGCCTCTATTTTGTGTTCCACCTTTGCGGCAAACCTCAAATTAAAAAAAAAGAATCATAATTATTTTAAACCACCTTTTTTTCTTCCAGATAGCGGACATCAGGGGAATAAGGCATGCTTTTCTCTTCTTATTTTACTTTCAAAAATTAACAAAGGAGTCGAGAAAGTCTTCCAATTTTTTCTTTCTTTGTGTAATTGATCGCGAACAGAATTTCTTCAAAGAAGCCGCAAAGCAGCGCGTTCCTTTCTTTACATTGGAACACCTCATGTGTCAGTTCAGATTTAAATAATTCGCAGACAAATATGAATTCAAACACTTTAATTTGTAAGCGAACGGCCTGCGGTGAGAATTTGAAAGTAACCTAGAAAGCCAAATTAAAAACTCTGACAAATTCAACGAGGTCGCCATTGCCAAGGTTATTCACTTTTCCTTGAATTCGACCTGCGACATAATTACGTTTTTCTGTGGCACCCTACAAAGCAATTCTTAAAGAAAAGCGAGATAACGAAAATTAGAAAATATCGCCGGCGGCTAAAATGGGTTGTCAACGCAGCACATTTTGGCTCCAAGATGAATTAGTGGTTTGAATGTCCGCTTGGGAAAAACCCTCTGCTCAGCTGGGGGGGGGCAAACCATTGATGGCGTATTCTTATATTTTCCAAAGTTTTATTCTTAAGAGGCGAAAATTTATGTTCACCGTTTATATCTATCGCTGGAAATTAATAAAACCGACTATCATTTGGAAATTCATGTTTCTGTTATCTCGCATGGCCTCAAATATATTGTGAATTTTAATATGATATTCAACGAGGGCTCGATGAAAGCTTTATTGCGTCTTCTGTACTGTCTGAGATGCCTATGCGAGTTAGATATTTTGCTTTACGCTCGCCATTATTTCTCATGACAGTGGAAAAAGTAGAATATTGTATAGACTGCAGAGTGTAACAAGACTTTAAGCTCGAATAGCACCTCTTAGCAGTGATTTTGGTCTGATTTTTGTGAGATAGATTCATTCGCTCTCGCTACACCCCGCAATGCGTTTGGATGGCCTGCGAAGAAAGTCTTCCTTTGACACAAAGTACATTTTTTCCTCAAGACTCAGCAAAGATTTAACCATCAATCAGCCTCTATACTCCTCCGTATCGCGACCTTATTGTCATTCAAGCGTTATTCATTGACCCAAGCAATATACCACACTACACAAACAACCATTACTTTAATTGTTGTAATAAACGGATGAAATCCAAACATCAATTCACCTTTTTAAGACCGGCTGAAGATATTTTGCCGTCGGTAAGATTGTTTACATTTGGCTATGTAAACAGTCGTTCGTAGGCGAGGGGATTTTGTACTCAGGCACATGAATATTCTTACACTTGCTTTTACGGGAAGCATTAAAATTTATTTTTGGAACCCTTTCGATGCCTTTGACTTCAAACGACAGCCGACAATCCATCATAAAGTGGCAATTTGCCACACTCTTGACATCAATACGCAATTCGCGTAAATTGGGAATCAGTTAATCTGAATGCTACTTTGACATTTCTGTTTGCTGTAGTCCTTTAATGTTATCAACACAATTAATGTGTTTCTAAGGCAAAAATAGCCATAACATAGTTGCCAGTACAAGAGCTCTCCTCGACTACCAAATACTGTAGCACCAAAGATATATAACCAGCTATCTAAATTTTAAAAAAATGGGCCTCTGAAGATTTGCAGATTTACCTTTAAGAGCCAAAAAAAATGTTAATCGCATTCAGGACAGACTTGCCTTACTAGTTTCTAAACCTTACATGTGAAACCATGAAGACGAAATACATAAGAAGACCTTCTGTACTTGTACGATAAAAAAGCATCGTTCGATACATTCAATACTAGCAAACACCACTGAGACTTCAGATATGATTTGACTGCCTTCTCCAATACTTCTTTTTGTAGCCTTAACCTGTATAGGTTATATAAGGCAGCTCCTTCCTTCAGTTGTAAACACGTTCGCAGTTTTTCAACGAAATACTTTTACTGTCGTTAACAAGGAAGCCACAATTCCAAATATAAGCTTTCAGGTTAACTTGATTGGCAGATTCAGTAGAAATGAGCTTGCTTCTCGAAAGCTTAAAACGTTGATTTGAATAATGGTAGGAAAACCATTCTATTGTTAGATGAAACAAAGCACTGAAAAGAGTTGCACCTTATCCAATGCATACAATATCATCACTGACTAGGTTTCCCCTTCCTCTATGTCGCTAAGGAACATTCTGGAAATAAAAGAAAATTATCAGGACAGTTGGCAAAATAAGAGTGAAATAACTTTTATTGCAAAGAGATCTACTCTAACAGCTTTCTATAAAGCATAGATAATTTTATTCACAGAAGTTCAACAATGTTTAACTTTAATCGTGCAGCGTTCTATTTGATGTCAATCAGATTGAAAAATAATTCCGTTCAGTTTTCTACGACAGCATACTGCTAAGTTTATTGTTTTCCTTAGCTTTACCATCACTGTAAACAACCTGACATCGTAAGGAGAGATGCAAGGTGAATTGTGAACCCAATAAAAAAAACATTGCCATCCCTTATTTGCGTAGCTTTTAGCTTATCACCGTAAGAGTTATGTCCATCATGATAAGGGGCTCGTTATTTGCCGATGAAGGAAACGTTGGGTGATTTGCTGGAAATAAAAGCCCTTTTCTTCCACACATTTTTTAATCTATATTTTTAGGTATCATGCAATACATTTTAAGGTGCTCTTAAGGGGTCAGATCTTGAAGAACTCTTAACTTTGAACGTATGATCCGTAATTAATGCTGAGGGAAAACAGACAAATTTAAGTCCAATTCTATCGACAGCTTTGCCTTATAGCATCGCGTGATTTCGCCCAGAAGCAAAGAAATAGAGTCCTAGATATGTATCTAAAAGCGTGGAAAGTTCTACAGGTACAGCACTCGTAGTCTTTGCACTTATGGATCTCCTTTACAAAACCTGTCGGCATTATACAACCAAGGATGAGATGAGTAAATAACACTGAGATAAAATTATCGCTTCAATATCGTTTTGGACAGAAGAATCTCATGAAATCAATGAGGTACTATCGTTCAAGGTTTTTGCAAACTCTTCAAGAAATTAAGTGTTGTAGCTTTTCTAGACAATATGAATACAAGAAAGTGTTTTTTTCTCTCTTTTCCTGTTTTTCGGGAGTAGTTATTTTGCCTCATGACGAAACAAACTTGTCTCCAGGGTATGCACCGCCTTTTTACTGTTCAAGTAATGTGAAACGTCTCTCCTAAATTTGTATTGCAAACTTCAATCTTGTTCTTTAGTACCAAGCAGTCTTATAACGGCTCCGCTATAAGAGTAATTTCGCTTTATATATTCTGATAAAACTATACCATACGGCTTTCAACCATACAGATCATAACGCTATAATATGTTACGAATAACTTGAATGCCTTACTTACCACTACAGGGAAACTCAAAATAAATTGACGCCTAGTATTCTTAAATTTTTTTCCTAAGTAGAATTTATTCTAATACACAAGTTCGGCTCAGGCTTCGAACTCCTCGCTATTTTATTATTCTGCTTGTTAGTTTGTTTTAAAATTTCTCCTCCTCCTTATTTGACAGGAAATCCCGCATCCCATCTCATTCTTAAAACTTCCGACTAATTTGTTATAAATTTCTGAAAGTCACGAGTCCTAAGACTGTTTTATTCTTTGTCATAAAATTGTTAAGTCGCTTGCATACGAAGGTTCTTTACTACCATAAATCACCGACGTTGTGTCCTCTCAGAGTTGAATATTTCATTTCTCTTCATGCTTTATTTGAATTAAAGTCCCTATGTAACATGTAAGAGAAACCTTTATTTGAAAGATTTGTAGCTTTATGGAAGAGCTAATTCTGAACAACGAAAACACCCGTTCGAAAATATAACAAAAACGAACCAAGCTTCTGTGATTTTATTGTTGTGCGGACAAATACCAAAAGAGGCTCTAATCCAAGCTAGTTTTCAACTAAGACAAGCAAACTGTAGGCACCCAACGGTTAGCCTTGTAGGAGATCTCCTTAAACCGTAACAAAGGGAATTATGAAAGTGATATTCTTAACCCTGAATGAATGCGGAGGGAGCAACTTCTAAACGCGTTTACAGGACGACTTAGATTCAGATACATTAAGTAATTGGCAAATTGCCGGAAGACACTTGCTTTTAATTTCACGGATGTAATACTCTCTAGCCTCTCCACTCTCTACCCTCGAAACCTAAAGATTTTTAAGAAGTTTGACTTAGAATACGATCACTTTTACCTTTCATGTTTGAGTAAACTCGTTACCATAACGGTCAAATCCATTTTACATTACACCTGCTTCGCTGTTTGTATGAATTTTTTCCTCTTTCCTATCCCTGTACCATGTTTTTATTGTTGAATTTTAAGATTTGTGTCTTCAATGTATTATGCAAAGGTCAAGTGTCGCTATAGCGACATTTATGGTTGCAGGATCGGTTTTACCTTTTAACGTCTTCAAGCTGTCGCCCAGTGGTTATGATTTTCCCGCTTGTTTCGAGGACAACTTCTTTCAACTTTCAAGAATTTCAAATTATGATCGGCGAATAATGTGCTGTGGAACTTTAAGGTTAATAATTGTACACCAAGCTAATCACCCCTTTCATCGTTTTGTACTATTTTTCTCTCCTTGATTCCAGAGCAATTTTCTCTGCTCGTATTTAGTATCTTTTCGGCGCCTCCTCTCCGCGCTCTTTTGTCTCAATGTCAGTAAAGAAAACAAGTATGTTTAAGCCATTAATAATTAGCTGCTCTTGGTGAAAACACACTCAAGTTTTATTAAACACGTTGAGATTATTTCAAAAATGTTTCTTGTTTTGATTTTACAAGAAAGGTTAACGTTTGAAGAACGATCTGCTGTAATTCGTCGCAGAAATTGTGGAATGAGACTTGAAATCGCTCATTGATCTATCGTAAGTCGACATATGCTTTGTTTATCTTACTCTGCATTTTTTTTCCGTTTCACCGAAGTCAAACGATTTTACTGAGGCATCTTATGCTACACCAACAAAACAGGTATTATAAAACAAGCACTTAAATCTTACTTTGGCATCTGCTCGAGTAATGATGTTAAATTAGATGAAACACTCTTAAACGCTGATTTTATTCATGGGTATTTTTTGGATCTGTGCAGATCTTCAATCGAGGACCTTAAGACTAGTCTTGTTGCCATACTTTAAGATCTTAGTGCAAGCTGAAAATTTTCATTAGTATTTTTCGGATCTTCGCATGTTTTCAGTCGAGGACCTCTGGAGTGGACTTGCTGATATATGTTAAGAACTTAGTGCAAGCCGGATATTTGTGGAAGGTATCCTGTTACATTCACTTCAGCAGGCGCAGAATTTTGTAATATTCGTGCGGTTTGTCTCTCTCCTCTTGCTATCTTATATTGCGCTTAAAGTTGTATATGTTGCATTTCTTATGTCGGCCTAAAAGATCATTTATTTGTATTTGGGCGCGTATGTACACTTGCCATTTCACGATAACAATTCTGTTAGCTCAATCTTAATATGTTTGCAATGTTTTTTCATATTCTCGTTCTCCGAGAAAAGAATTTCAAACTCTGTGTTTACATCTCTAATCCATTTTCTTCAGTGTTGATTATTCGCCCACCATTCAAAACGTCTAAAACACACGGCTTCGTTGTGTGATAACACTTGCCATTTTAGTTTTAAAACATCTTGAAACGCTGGTAGCTTAAAAGAATAAATAGGGTTCATAACGTTGCGAACAGTTATTTGAAAACTGTTGAGTTTCATCTGCATTTGAAACCTTATCATTGCCTGTCAGTGCAAAATTTGGACTTGCACTTTGACTGAAATTTTGGAATAGTTCATCCTTTTTGTCATCAGATCCTCGATATTTTCAGACAATAAAACATTTCCTAATCTAGGAAAGAGGAAATCATTATTTGTATAGCACCCGCATGACACCGTCCATTACATAACCACTAATTGTTTATTAGTCAGAAGGCTGCAATGAAAATGGACCATATTTGGTTTATTTACAAGCACTAAAGGCTATTTCTATTCACCAATTGAAAGATTTCCTTTCCCATTTTTGTGTGAGGAGAAACTCCTTCGCTCGAACCCCGAATGTGCCATTTACTCACTTCACCTTAAAAATTAAGTTTTATGCCAAAAAAATAACACATCCCTAAAATGTCTTAAAGTGCCGATAAGGACAGGATGTATTTACACCTTTGTTTAATTCTTAGAGAACAAAACTGTGACAATACTTTGGCGAAGTAAGTGCTTAGATGTTGTCACCTATCTATTTATATTATGTGGGATGTTCTAAAGAAACCTTTGTAAGCGCTAAATAAACTATTTGTTCTCATGTTTTGAAAGAACTGGTTCAAGAGAATAGTTTCCGGTAACCTCTCTAAACATGCGATTTAGTACGACAGAGTAACTGCTATTTCAAGAAGCGCTCTTAGATAAATATTGCTTTTTTTATCTTTGTCAAAGCCGACCGACTAACGGTTTTAAGAAGCTGAGACTTTATTTACTCTGCTCTTTTTCTACTGCTAGTTATTAAATAGCGTTTTTAAAAAGATCACTTAAGCAAGGCAAAAGTCACAAACCTTGTTTTCGCTTAAATAAGACGACTTCGATTACATAGCCAAGTGCTCCCTTCGGCTTCCGTTTTTCGGTTTCCCAAAGGCATAAAATGCAAACTGGGTCACAAATCACAGAAGCAGAGTCAAAAATATATGAACTTCATATATTTCATTGTATCAGAGTCAAGATTGTTATATACGATACAACTTTTACTAGTAAGTCATTGTTAGGTCAGGCATAAGCACTCAACCACGTAATGGATGAGTATTCAAATTCTATGAGGAAAAAAGGCAAATAGAAATGCTATTCAACCTGTTGTGTGCTAGAGGCCAACAAAAGAAACGTAATAAAAGTTCTGATGAAATAGTTGTCATCTGTGAAACCTGTTTATTTTTCTGTTTACTAGACCGTGATGAGTGAAATGGAAAGCAAAAGCAGTTCGTTTTCCATCTGCTAACATAATACTTAAGTTTGTTTCTAGAAAGGAAACTTACACACTTCGATAGCGAAAGGGTTTCTCCCTCTAGCTACGGAATTAGGATTGCCTGCATTTAGTAGCCATTTCACCATCGTCCTCTTCACGAAAGTGCTACTCACAGGTCATACCGCATGAAATAAATCTAGGTATATATAAGAACGATCCTTCGCAGTAAAGCACTATTTGAGCAATAGTGGAAATCAGACCTGATTTAGGTATGTCAGAATGACTACATGGTATGTCAGAATGACTACATGCCCTATAATAGTAGTGGGTACTGGAATGACGTTGAGTCTTTCAAATCTAAACAGTCGGAGATAATAGATAACAGACGTGAAATGGCCAGGAACTTAAAAAGCACACTAAAATAACAGGAAATGCGACTCTCAAACAGTCATTGATGAAAGAATTGACCACTGGAAGAAAGAATTGTTTCACAAATTCCTTGATACGTTTAGAATTAGCTAGCTTCATGATACTGTTGTTCCGAGGGACTCTTTAGAACAGACCTCCTCTTTTGATCTTTAATAACCCGAAATAGAGAAAAGATCGCAGTAAAACATATGAAAATACAATCTCTTTCTTGGTGTCAGTTTGCCTGTTCTTTTAACGACAGTTTAAACACCTCGTAGACCAGTGTTAGACTTGAAGAGCGCACGTATGGCACCGGTTTCTTTTCATAACGAACTGACGTAAGTGAAATCTTTTTGGGTTGGACTGGGTGATAGGAATTTTAGACAGTTCATGAAGATCTCTCTCGACATTGATTTCTTATGGAGTTAGTGCTACTTAAATATTCCTCATTAAAGAATCTCTTACCTTATAATTTATGTCATTTTCAGAACACTCTGCTGAATCGTTTTTCAAAGGCAGTCAGATGCCTACAACTTACGTCCTCACCGCGCAAATCATTCTCACTCATTCCCGCTCTAATAAGTAACTCGGTGACTATTTAAAGTCTTGCTACTCAAGTTTAAAAATAAAAACATTTTACCACACACACCTGGAGTGGTGCATACTGCTGTTTTGGCAAGCTTGGGTTCAAAACAGAGCGCAGCATGACCTTAGGCATTCCGTCAAACGTTGCTTTGTTTAATGATCGATGGGTTGGTTTAGCGTGGTGCATGGTTGTCTTCTACACAATTTACCACCTCTGTTTAGTTCCCTCTTCTTGTTTAAAACTTGAGTTTGTTTCAGTAAATTTCTAGAACCTCCATTGCTCAATTTCAAACTTGGTATCTGTTTCTTTTAATTTCTGACAGTGATTTAGAAGTGATTTCGGCCTTTTTAGTTGTCAGAAGTGTCTCTTGTTCCTATCTTACTAAAGCTTTTTTGACACAGAATTTAGTCTTTGTAGCAATGTGATCAATCATGTCAACATGCTGTGTCAGTTTGTTTGGAGAAAGGAGCATGCCATGTTTTTTTTAATTTTCCGACGGAGATTTTTGGTGGATGATGGGACAATGAGGTATGTGACTTTGTTCCCCACCCTACATTTTGTCAACCACGAGACGTCTATGATCGCGGGCGGCCATGTTTTTCTTGCAGTGAAGATTCTCTCTCTCATTTCGTTTGTTCTGTACTAGAGAGGAGAATTTTCATATGTACAGGTAAGGTTTGAATGGGTAGGAGTTTTGATGGAAATTGTCAATTTGGTTTTCATGGTGTAGCCACACCTTCGAATTATATAGGACACATGTCCAACTAAAACTCAGTTTATTTTATTTCATCCAATTTTTTTTTTGGTAGATTTTAGGGGATCCACTTCACTCCTTCTCAAGTGAGAGGAGTCGGTTTTAAACCACCAAAAAATATATGCTATTTGTCATCCTCCGGATTTGAGGACATGCCTTAATAAGGACACAGTCTTGTGACAAGAAAACATAATTTTATTACCATACAAAGATATGTATATTATTTTTGTTATCGTTTCACCCTTGAATCTTTTCCCAGATAAATCTATTGACGTCCTCTGCGTTGATAGAAAAAATTAGGTGACAATAATTGGACTGAATAACGTAAATCTAATAATAACATAAGCCTTGTACAGCAAGCCCGTGAAAGTTACGAATTTTCACGATTTGTTGAATTCTATCTTCTTTCCTTAATTAAATATTGTTAAAACTGCGGAAATTGCTCAAACGAAATAAGAATGATCACCTAAAGTATCCGGCTTAAATATTCATGATGTGAAACAGGATTTAATTTTCAAAAAATTTCCCTGCAAAGGATCCGCAAATACCACATATTGATTATCTCATCCTCTCACCAAATATTTGCGCCTAATTTAACAATTCTCACCTTACTTGATGATTATTTTCAAGTTTGAAGTTTGTTTGCTCACCCAACGACAAACTGTGCTTTATATGGCTTTATTTTCTAAGAAACAATGTAAACAGCCCGATATTTAAATACTGATATCACTTCTCGTGAAACAGATCGAAATGCTGATTAATATCGGTCATACAATATTCTGAAGAAAGCAAAATTTAGAAAAATACGCTCGATATCTTTTTTTATAATCATTTTGGCAGCTCATTTCGAATAGTGGTAAAAATTCATATTGCTATGAATTAAAATATAAATTCATAAAACTCCTGCTGTGCATTAAAAATAGTAATTATAATGAAGATATTCAAGATCTGAAGACAGCGATGAACGGGATAAACGTAGTTTTTTTAGTTGGTACAATGTTTGGCGCATTAGTCTGCGTCAAACCTTATCTGCTAAATGACTGCTATGCCAACTTTCCGAGCTCGGAATTGTACATTAATGAAACATGATCTTTTCATGCAATTTCTCTGACTCCTTTACAGCTCTGAATATATTTACGGTTTGTATATAATGAGCACAATTTCCGAACACAAAGACTTCCAGTTTTACAATTTTTATTTAACGAGAATGTTCCTCAAGCGTTCAAATGCCGCAGAATCACTTTTATGAGTTGTAATAAAATCAAATTATACTTTGAAAGATTTCGTAGTAATTTCAAATTATAATAATTTACTAAAGGCGATCAGGTCGAAGTCAAAATAAAATTTCACAGTCTGCAAGATTTTTGCAAAAGATTGGAGCTATCTCACAATCTCATCATCGCGATAAATGGAATAACTAAAAAGTAAAGCTTCACATTTGTGATTTCTTTGACTTTAACAGTTTTGGACAAAAGCAGCGATTCCCTTGCCATTCATAAAATTTCTTTCGGAAATTTAAGTCTTATCGCTCGGCGAGTGTTTGATAGCTAGGTGTTACTTTCGAAACCAAACAAGGAGTTATACAGACGCCACAACTGGTAGGCAACGTGTCTACCCTGTGTTTAAAATCGTGTTGTTTTCAGATGTATTGTCTTACTTACTAGGTTATCAGTGTTCGCGCCCCATCAGTTTACCTTGCTTACTGTGTGGAATGTCGACAAAACCAGTAAACAGTAATGATTCCGCGGTTTCTGAAACTAGTTCATCTTTTGTGATTACAACTGAATTGAAGTTTCACTCGATTTTGTCGCTTACAGGCAAGCAGACGAATGTAGTGAATAGGTATTTGTATTTTTATTTTAGCCTGTGCAAACTGTCAGAAGTAAATGTGTGTCTTTCTTCTTCGGTTCATTGCAGACTGGTAACATATTCACTGTCAAATCTTATTTGCTATTTGGTTACTAGCCGATAATGTATCTCGACAAGCCGGGTGCTTGAGCAATCAATTTCAACTTTTATGTCATTTTGTGGTGTTGCGAGTCGCGAAGACCGCTCTCTTGTCTTGAAGTTCTTTGCACCTTGTTATTTCAGACGTCATTGTATTCACCTTTATTCGCTTTCCTGTTTTCGTTTTGTGTATAGTAGCTTTTCCGAAAGCTTTTTCCATTGAGCCAACCATTTCTGCCCATGAACCGCGGCAAGTGACGCGATATCTTCATCTCTTTGATCTCATTCCAAACGAAAGCACAAAATTAATTTTTAAGTTCACATGGTAAGTTCAACAGCTTTATTCCTTCCCTGTAATTTCATTTGAACATTTCAATTACGAGTTTTAATGTGCTGTGCTTTAATGCATTGAGTGTCCTCCATTTGTTCCTCGATCGTCTACCGATTGCCACGTTTAAGCTGAACGCGAAGAAAATTACCAATTAGGTCCAATCTTCAGCTTCAGCTCAAATCGCACTAAATGAATGGCAAGTCCTTTACAGCAATAAGCATCGATAGAATCTATATTGCGGGAATCTGCTTGGTAAAATTAATTTTGCGTGATAAGTTAGATTAACATAAACATCACAGCATACAAAACCGATAATTTGTTTGACCGCCGTATTGAGAAGTGTTTGTCAATGGCACGCTTGGGTGAAAAGTTCAGACAGTTTTAAAAGCGATTTAGGAACAGGATGAGACATCCCTCTTGTGTACATTCAATAAAGAATGACAGTCAATCCTGTATTTTTCATGTTCGTCTTGGTTTACTAAATGAATACACAACTGATCTGAAGCGTTGGAAGATTTGAATCTGCGCCTGTTTTCCTCCCCCTTTTCAAACGAACTTGCCAGAGTTGAAAATTGTTTTTAATTGTAGAATGAGAGGTCTATTTTGTCTTTCATTGCCACTCGCCACATCTTGGTTATAAAATTCCAATTTCTTATCGGTTTTGTAATTATAATTCGTAGACACTTTCGCGCAGGGCACTCAAGGGGTCGCCGCCATGCGTTTGTTTGTTGTTTCAAAGTAACCCTCCTGACTTATGCGATACATTTTGCATCAGCGCGACACCAGGAAAAACGAAACGCTTGTAAGCACAGCTTTGCTTGCTTGTTGATAAAAGATAGTTGCGCCATGCGTGCATTTAAATTGAAAGCGCCCGTAAACAGAAAGCTGCAAATTGCTTTTAGTGTTATGCTTTGTAAGAAGACCAACCTTGGATGCTGGTGAAATTTTTATCAGTTTTCTTTTTTAACTGGCTAGCATGAATGCTGAATGTTATCGTTTTCGACAAGTGTACAAGTTAAGCAAATAGGGAACCAACCGTAAGATCAATTTCGTGCGGTGCTGTGACTCCCCGGTTGTTAGAATTTAACTCCACTCAGCGCCTTTTACGGCTCAATTTTAACAGCTCGTATCTTTGTGCTCATTCTTAATCCCAATTATTTTCTTTTCCATTCACTTATCGTTAACAAGAATGTCTTAGGATCATCCCATTGTTAAATTAGTTTGCGATCAAAACGAAAGAAACCCATTGTTTACATCCTTCGCTTAGATGAACGCGGCTGGCTATCAAAGTTATGGGAGAATAACCGGCAACCCAATAACTGTAATTCACCATAAGGTGCCCAATTTGTATTATTAACAGAAAGATAATCCTCGTTTTGTCGGAATATTTTTCATCCAGTTAATAAGCCGAAGACACGAGAGGATGAAGGAGAGTGAAAACTATTTAAGAAGATCCTAAATTTAATGAAATATTTATTGTACTCAGAATTTTCTGTAGCACTTAATTAAATAAACCTTTAGAGTGTTGCTCCCAACGAAATCCTTTTTCCTGAATTTTTTTAAAGCAGCAAGTTACGTTAAGACGTTGAAACGGACGTAACGCGATCGCCCTAATTACTGTTCATTCGCGTCTTGAAAGATTGCGCTTGTGGTGATATTGATCTTAGCCAATTTAGCACGGTGATATCGTTTAAACCTGGATAGTTTTTTTTCCTTGCCTTACACAGATGTAATTTATCGCTGAAAGGAATATTGCTCCAGTTGAAACAGATGCGTCCTTTTCCGTATTCATTTACAAGCTTTGTTTTACACATTTGATTTCAATTCGTCAGACAGACATTACTTCAAAGAAATACTACTCCTTTATTTTGTTTTAAGTTTTTTTGGTTCCGAGAACTGGCGCACTTTTATACGTGACTTCGAAGTAACGGGTATGTTTACGATAGAGAAAAAGCAAAGAGCCTAAAATCAAAAGCATTGACAAACTTGGATAATATACGTTTGACGGCCGTCAAAATAGGCAATTGATAAAAGACTTGTAGACAAAAATACTCGATGTTATGTTTTGGAGATGAATTTTCTCCTTGTTGGCAAAGAGGTTAAGCATTAATCCATAAGAAAAAAATTCCTTCCGTCATTCAAATTTCTATATATTCTTTGTGAAGGAGTGACTTGGATTATTATTTCTTCTGTAGAGAATTTATAAAAGCCGTTATTGTGTTATATCCCCATTAGATTTCTACGAGGAGATGTCCACCTCGATGATGCGAGAATTTCAGTCAACTTGGATTAAAGGGGGGTGTTAATTTAAGTGTGGTGCATTTAGATACCACCTAGTATTTGAAAAGCCGCTATGGCGTAAATAACCTGGCCGCCGTTCCACCTATTGCAAGAAATAGAAAACAAACACAAAATATCAAAGAACTCTCACTTCTTTTTCTCCTGCATTCATTCACATCTTATTAGTGGTACGAAAATGTAAGAAACAGATTCAACCGCTGGAGGAAAAGGTTTGATCCCTTGGTGTGAATAGGTGTACAGTCCTTATAATCGAAAGAAATTTCCCTGGATGTTCACAGGTGCTTCTAAACTTAGCGGGGAAACTTCTATCAACAGACCGCGGGTGAATCAGTAAACTAGGACTAGGGACCTTGCAATGGTCGAACATTTTGTTCCGCTCTCATAGAGTAATTCACCATCAAGTTTTAAGTTTCCAAAAATAATGAAGGTTGTCATACTGCAGCAGTATTCACTTTCGTTTGTTTATGTCGTATCCAGATAAGAAAATGACTCGCGAAGCAAACCTGTGTGGACGAGTTATAACATGAAGACCCGACAACTATCTCACGCATCGTAAAGGCTATTAAAGCCGGTTAAACTATCAAAAGTGAAAATGTACTTTTAATATCACCAGCCTCTCTTGACCATCCTTGCAGTTTGCGCGATATTGTCCAAATATTGACAAATTTGAACAAAGCCTTGACAGAACTCCGCCGCTGAAACAGAAAACAATCAACCCCTTATCCCTAACACGAAACCGGCTTAGGGTGTACACTCGTTTGCTGCCGAATGAGTGTTTTTTAAGTGGCAGATCTTTTAGCCACTAAAAAATGTTAGTTTTGTACGCTCACTGGAATTACTAGAGCCTTTTCTTGTCTTAGCGATATCATCCTACGGTAGTTTCAAGCTGCTTCTCGCAGAGCGTAGACACCCCGTAGTGGCTTTTCTATAGCGGCGCACTCTCTCGCATCCATGGAAATGCAATATATCTCTTTAATCAGAAACATTTCCTTTCCATTTCCTTCCAAACGAAGGTCTAGCCCATCACAGCTGTTTCGGAAAGGCTCTGATCGGAAAAGTTTCCCACCCTACAAATTTTTTAAGTGTCCATCACCCATCTAATATAAGAGAGAAGTTTGCGGAAACAGTACGTCAAAATAATGATTCACCTGTTAGGAAAAGAAATTGTCGTTTTCACGAATTTTGCCCCGTACTTTGACTAAGAACAAGTATGCCCATTATTATATTTCAAAAGCGAACTTAGTCGTGAGCAAGCAAAGCGTTTGTCACACGTGTCTTGCTTTGAGATCTTTTGTGTGATTTAGAACGCCGAGCGACCGTAAATGATGATTCTCTTATCTCGCCGAAATGCCTCAGGATATGTGGTTAATTTGAATACAAGAAGTCTTCGACGGCGACTTTCATGCTCTACTTAGGATTTCATACGTATAAAAATTTCGCTTCGATGAAAGTGCATTTTCTTGTCATTTCGCTAGAATGCAAACTTTGGTACGTTTATCAACGTCGATTCGTGTACCGGAATGTAAGTTTCATTGGGTAATTTAAGAAATTTTTTTGAGTGGAAAATCACGCGAATAAAGTGCACCAAAACTGTCGCAGCGGTATTGACAACATTTAAAATTAAGTTAACAGTGTCAAATTTCGTGTCACTTCTGGGAGCGAAAGACCCTCGCCTTCTCAGTGCACCCAAATTTAATCGCTGACTATTTAACACAAAGTTTGGTTAACAATAAGCGATCGAAAAACCTTAATTTAATGTCAAAACACCGTAAAGTTCAGGGATGGTTTATGTTCAGAATGAAAACAAGAGCCATAATAACAAACACCGTCTTGGTTTCTCTTGTATTTGCCTGCCCATTGGCGGTGCTGATGTGGATTAATAAACTTTGCTACGAGAGCAGAGCGGTAGACAAGAGAGACAACGATCAAGTAAATAGTGGGAGGATAATGGGACCAACGATAAATACTGCAAGATCAGAGAAATATTAATTTTGTTACTCCGACATTCAAAAGATTTTGCTCGGTGCAAAGTCATGAATTCCCTACAATATCAAAGAAAGTGCAGCGTAACGGCAAATACCCCTTTAAATCATTTTCATTTCAGAAAACGTCTTTCCTCAAGGGTGATAAACCCTTGCGAATTTAAAGCGAATGAATGGTCTGGCCCAAGAAGTTGTAACTAGAATTAAACTATTGCCGAGTATAAGACCTTGAGCCTCGGACACCTCTCTACGACATTATCGCCATTAACTCAAGAAAATAAAGAACAGGCAGATACCCTGGCTATGAGTTTATTTTCTTTGAAGGCATAGAAAATACAGTGACAATGCCGCATCGGCAAATAAATTATTTTCAAAAAATTCGTTTCTTTCTTGTACCCTCGAACCTTTTTAAGTGGCGAGTAACCGCCGGTTCAAGAAATTATTCAAAATCAAAGTCAACAAACACTAGAGGTACTTCCTCAAAATTCTAAAATGGATGGAATAGATCGACAAAATCCTCCTAGTTGAAAGTATAACTGTAAGTTACAGTTAAAAGCTAAAGACTTTACGCAGCAAAAGAGATCATTGGCGTTTCACGCCTTCACGGTGAAGTAGAAAGTCTACACTAATAACAGTTCACAAAGTGTACCTAATGAATTGACTAGCTCGCCAACTTTAAGTTTGAACTTAGAGCATACGAAAATGTGCGCAATAAGAATAAATCGAAGGAGAATTTTCATTTTCTTTTTCCTTTATCGAAGATAATATTAGATTTGGTACAATTTGATTTGTTTGGAAGGTCAACTGCTGCACTGGTTGGAATGCTCAGATACCATATCAAGGGGCTTCTGATTTAATGATTAAAGTAAATATAATACTCAAATATTACATGAAATCTCTATAATTTTGGAGTGTACATCTCGAGTTTGTCAGTTCGCTTTTTTTTTTCTTTTTCGTTTAGTCTTTTTTTCCCGTACTTTCCTTTCTCTATTTGCAGTCAGGTCCAAGAGTAATTCTTATGTGTTCTCATATAAATAAAATCTCTAGATCGTAGAAACGTTTTTCAGTCAATAATCTCTCGCACACGTTCAGCCTATGAACGTGGTTGAGCGTCAAATGTATGCTTGTCAGGCGGATTCCAGTACGGATTAGTAAAATGATGGCCATGTACTGCGGCTGTATGATCAGTTTGTCTGCGACAACCTACACTGGGCATAGCCACGGCTCCGTACCCACATTGATTATTCACGGGGTTCTGGATTTGTGTAGAATACTGCGTACCTGTGTATGAGCTGACTGGGACTCCAACAGTTGATCCCATGTTCATGTAGGGTGCAACCGCATACCCCGGAGGAACTCTAGACGATTGTGGGTTGCACGGGTAAGAAAGAGGACCAGCAGGCTGAGCAGTTCGCCAATTTCCTCCTGCAGTAGGTACACTCTGAACTGGATTATAAGCTGACCACTTGGGAGCGATGAAGTTTCCGTAGGCTGCCGCGCGCGGATCTGTTAGCATTCCGTTGGTGTGCTGCAGAGTTGGTTGGCGGTAAGGTCTCTTCATGCGGCGCCGGCGCCTATAGTTTCCTTTTTCAAACATATCCTCGCAAGCTGGATCTAAGGTCCAGTAGTTGCCTTTTCTCTCTCCGCCACCTTCTCGAGGAACTTTAATGAAACACTCATTGAGTGACAAATTGTGCCGTATGGAATTTTGCCATCCCTTCTTATTCTTCTCATAAAACGGAAACTTGCTGATAATGTACTGGTAAATTCCATTGAGGGTTAACCGCTTTTCGGAAGACTCTCGAATCGCCATCGCGATCAGCGCGACGTAAGAGTACGGCGGCTTCACATTGGGATCTTTCGACGAGGCCTCCTTAGATTCGCTTTTTTCGCTCTCAACTGGACTCGAGTCGCTATCGTCTTTCTTTAGCTCAGGCTCGTAGCTGCTTAGTTGATGGTCGTGGTTTGAAGAGGCCATTTTGCTTGTGTTTGACAGAGTTAATTCTGAAGTGTTGGAGGCTGTTCTGTGGCAATAATATATAAATTAGAAATTCTAAAGACTGTTTGGTGTTTGTCTTCTAGATATGACATTTGATTGGCTCGTCTATTCATTATCTATCACTTTCTATAAATATCCTGACATCACGCTATCTTTTGTCCATCGAACCAATCATTATGCTCTTTACAAAGCGTCAATTGATTCATTTATTTGTCTGGTAGCAATGCGACCACCTACTCTGGCAGCTGCTACTTGTCCGTTTAGGCCCTTAATTGTTTCTATCCATTCACTTTTATTATTTACACCATCCATGCCAAATTTCGTTTACCTTTCTATCATATACTCGGGAGTGTACAATTTCAAACTACCTTGACTCCTAGTGTATGTTTATACTCGAGGTGCGAAAATATTTTCCCGTTATCTTCAAGGAGGAGTGAAAAGTGAAACGCTCTTCTCCACACCCATAGTTAACACCTGGTTCGCAACTATACCAATCAGAGAGAAGCAATCGGCAGATGAAGGGAATTGAAAGGCACAAAGAAATTCACATGTTGTCTGGCCCAAGTGCAGGCTATTTAGCTTTAATTATACGATGTAGATTTTATTTTTTATTATTACAAACTACCCGCTGTGACTCTTTTTTTTGCGATAATGCTGCCCCACGCTGGGCTCCTGTACCATGCAAATGCGCTTTCCTCTTTCTGCGAAAACAACATGACAAAACAGAAGACAGGAGCGCTTATTTCGCTCCACCTGTGTGCGATGCGAGAGCCAGAAAACCGAGCCGTATCCTACAAGAACGTGCGAGACATTTATGAATTAAACTACACAAGCAGTTTCTTATCACTTGAACGTTCTGACTTCATTAGGAATGTTCTGAATTGAGTCAACGGGCTACAATAAGAGCGATAGCGGCGCTTCTTGATAAGCGCAAAATACTCGGTCTGTAGCAGTCGAGGATAAGCTTAACATTATTTCCAAGGTTTTAATTACAGTTTAGAGTAACTGTAACATCATAAACCCCTTAAAAGTAAATATTTCACGCATAAAGGTCTTGTAGGCTTGATTACAATATTTGCTGGTACTATTAGGGTTTGTGTACATTCAAAATGTTTATTCTAAGGAGTTGTTAAAGATTTATAATTTAGTGTAAACAAACAATTTCCAGTTTGTAAGGGAAATTTTTATTTGGAGACCACAACGGGAACACTTTTAGCTCTTCAGCAAGAGTACAAACCTGTGGAAATTTTTGATGGACATATCACGCTCTTGTTTACCGGAAATTAGCAGCTGTGGATCTCGTATTTTTAGAATACTGGCAGAAAAATGGATTTCAAATGTCAACTTTGTGTCTCAGAGCCAGGTTCATCTCCCCTGTGTCTTATCAGATCGAAGTAAATTGTTTGTGTATGAAAAATTCGAGGCGTATACGATCTCACCTTATGAATTTAGATTTGACCTAAAGCGCGAGGAAAATACTGGTATTGTTTCTTGTGTCAAAAGTAAAAAAATTGCTACAAAACAGCTGTGAATTTATTTCATCAAAGACTTGCAAAAAGCACGCGAACCTTGTCATAAAAATCATGCGACAGCTCATTAAGTCATGCGAAAATTTTGTGCCTTGGCAATGATTGAAAATTTGGTAGAAACCAAATAATTGTTAACCCATTGATACTTTTTTTGTAAATATAAGCTGAAGATTTATTTACCTTTCTCCGCTTCTTTTTTGTCTTCGGTTTAGAAAAATACTGCGCTCAATCTGAAAGTGGCCAAATTTCTTCAGGCTAAGGCAAACCGAAACAATTTAACCCAGTCAGTTAACCTTGAGGAGGGCCGGGAAGCTTTTGAAGAAGCAATTGGGGTCGCTCTGATATTTTCGCCACGGGATGTACACCTACTGTCTTTGCTAGACATAATTGTTTTTAGAGACGGGAACTCTGATTGGCGGTGCTTCAATTTATTGCCCTATTATTTACATCTGAAACAACAGTTGTCTTGGCTCGCGTGGGATATAATTGAAATGTGCTTGTAGTAGAAGTTAGTGTATTAACGCAAGCTAAATTGTACCAGTCAACGCTTCGCTGTACTTTATTAACTCGCAAAAGCACTTCTTGTGAACGCAATTTCGCCAATTTTGAATCCCAGATTCCGGTTTTGGAAAGCGACGGCAGAGATCCGCGGAAGTTTATCTGTTAACCTGCTGTTTCTGTTTACTGAACTAATCTAAATTTCACTATAGGACAGTGATTATGTATTCCCAACATTTATTGCATTTACGGTTTGTCAAGCCCTCCAAGTTGACAGCATTGCCCTTGGCGCGGACATGATAATTAAGTAACAAGCGCGGGGATTGAATACGATTCCGCGAGATCTTGGCACCTTTAAAATTCCCGATTCCATTACCAAGTGTCAGAAATCACTCTCTATGAGGTGAAAAAGGTTTTGAGTGCTATTTTCGGCTTTTAGGCGCTTTCGTTTGATCACAGGAAGCTTGTGAAATGTTTATGCGTTTCCTTTGTTTTGGCTCCTCAATTGTCAATGTTATGGTTACTTAGGGGCTTGATTCAGAAACACTATTTCATGAGCTTTGCAAGACCTTATTATTTCAATAACACTAACAGAAAGATCAGGTGTTTGCTGAACGATTAATGAACGCAAATCTCGAAATAGCACGCCGAATAATAGCACTTATATCGACGCCAATGAGCGATGAACTGCGGTCGACGCTGTTATCTCTGTTTCTCGAAAGTTCAAATTAAATGTCAGTTAATCTTGCCTGCTTGAGCGCGGACTCGCTCACATGCAGGGATCTTGTAGACAAAACTGTTGAAAATAATGCCTGTTAACCCTGTTTGTTTAGACAAGCAAATCATCATAGTGTCAGTCAACTTGTTACTCGTCTTTACTTTCGCTTATCAGCCGCAGTTACAAGTCGATGCGCTTTACTGAGAAGAAAATAATACACTGCGGCGTTCCCTGAGGCAGTGCAATGAAAAGTTTCTCTTGTTTCGACCCCATCAATCAAAAGCGACCCCTGCCTGAAGCATATGAAATTGAACCCGTTTTCATGCTGAATTCATCCCAATTTAGTAGAAACAAATCTCAACTATCTGTTTTCAGATGTTTGCATAACGTTTAAAGTGATAGAGAATACTTGTCATATCCACGTGTTCATTCGCGAATATTTACATTGCCACCTTTGGGCTCCAATCTTCGCGAACACCAACAAATGTTACGACCCTCTGTGCTTTTTTCTTTGCATTTTGCAGAAAATGTCGTCAATTATTTGGGGGTCATGCAGCTTTGAAACCTCGATTTCTGTGAATATTAATTTACGTTTATAGTAAACGCACATCAGGTAGGCAATAGTGATCTATTGTTTCGATTCAAAACATGAATAATACTTCATCAACTGGTACATGAAATCCAAATTGAATATTTATGGTGGTCGATTGCTTGCGTAAACTATTGGCCACTCCAGCAAATAAGACTACAGCGCATCTAAATTGTTTTGATAAACTCTAAGTCTGTCGTCAATAACCCGTGTAAATTGAAGCCTAAACAATAGGATTGTTTACAAACACGAGTTCCTGCACTTAAAGGTTTTCATTCACAGCCTCTAGAGAGATTTATTTAGAATATCTTCCTAGCATGTAATTAATTCAATTTTGTATTTGCCTGCGAGAAAGACATTTTCTACACCGTAAGAGACTGTTATGTGGTATTTCTATCCAGTAATTTTAAAATGCTCAGCTTTATAAAAATAAAATGCTCCTATAACTTGCACTGTTACTGCTGAGAACACCTCGAATCGTAGCTAACAGGTTTTTTTTTTCTTTCTTTTATCTCTCGCTGCTGGAATTGGAACGACAATACGTGTTTAAATGCCTTCCGTCAGTGTATATCATTCTATTCTTTTTACTTTGCGAATATTTACAGCTGCTTCTAATGATTCTTCGAAACTTTAAACAGTGAAAACTTGATATCAAGCTGAAATATGCAGCGATAAACACAGCGCATTGATTGTTTCCGGAAATCTGTCCAGCTCGTGGGAAATCTCGAAACCGTTATTCCGCTAAGACCCACCTCTGTACTAATCTACTTCAAATGGCATGTACTCACCCAGTCAATGTCGATATCGAAGAATTCATCGTCTTATCGAAATTTTACTCTCTCTTCTATTGTTCATGGAATAAACCAACACAAGATATTAATATATTATTCACAGCCATACCACCGAATCAACAGCTTCACCATCGTCAAAGTTCAAGGTCTCCCCGCCTAACAGTTTGTTAATAAGTACCCGCCAATGAATAAAAACCTTTGCCGACGAAGATATGACGCGCAAACTTCCGACCTGTCAAGTCACAGGAGGACAAGAGTTTATTTGTATGAAAGCCCCACCACGAGCAAGCTGTGACTGAGAGTCACTCAGGCTATTCTTAGCCAATAACAGCATATCGTTTTCAAAAAAATTTCTTTTATGTTTGAAAGGCTTCTTGCAATGTCAAGGTATTCCATTGCCTTATCAGATGTGCATGAAGAAGAAACAAGATTCCTGTCTTCCTGTGACCTACTAACGTAACTTCGTTGTATCCTTTTACTCCCATGAGGGAGATTCCGTTTCTTATCTCCCATTCACCCCGATAACATTATCTCGTGAGTTATTCGACATTGTCCGGATATGTTGTAGTACCTCTCAACAAACCCTCGTTTTAATACTGAAAGACTGCAATTTTTATAGAAAAAGACAGAAGCTGATTTAAGAAACGCCTGCACTCAAAACCTCTGTTCCTGTTTTTCCCAGCCATTTGTTACAGAAAATTGAATTTGACTTCTAAATGAACATCCAATTTGATCGATGTGGGTGATCTGTCTCAAGGTTTATGACTTAATGATAGACACTCTTAAAAGATAGCCATGTTATCCAGTCTGTGTGTATTTATTTATTTTGTCTTGTTTTGTTAACTTTGGCGAGCGCGTTATCTTGATTAGCTAATAGCGATTGATTATCATCTCCCTGGGTGTGTTCCAATTCCTGACAAAGTGAAAATGAGGTGCTGATAACTCAGCTAATGGTTTACTTCCTCAGTATTATCTTAGCTGATAAGAGGTATGTTTCAACTTATCAGCGAATGGAGTTTGTTTATACAGCAACTTGTTATTATATCAGTGAGTGTCACATCATTCTCACAAGGTAAGTGATTAACTTCAAGGGTAGGTTTCCTGTGCCAGTTGTGTCAAGCGCTTGTTTTGGCTTCTATTTCTGGTGAGCGATGGCTATTGTTTTAATTTCGAAATTTCGCTTGATAAGTCATCGAATCAAATGTAATGTTTTTAACGTAAATTTCAATGTAGATCAACGGAAAGAATATCATAAAAAATGTTCAAAATGCCTATAACAAACAAACGCTTCATATATAGTTGAAAAAATTCTTGCCCGATCTTAATCGATGAAAAAAGAACCTTCAGTGTATCCGATGACCCGAAGGTTATGGCGTCTTTGTTTCTTGCAAGTCCCTCGAACTAAACAAAACAATTTCTCTTCCCACAGCCATCTCCTCTTCAGTTCTCACATAAGACAAGTGTTGTGACTTTACTCTCAATTATGCGAATTTTCCATCACCTCAAAGACAAGCTTTGAATAAATTTCCTTAACATTTTAAAAGCGAACAGTTGTTATTCGGTTTTAAAGAAATGACAACGTTTTGAGATGTTGAAAGCGCGCGTGTTTGTCTTTGCCCTATGCTATCAAAAAATTGCTGAAACACTACGTGCCAAGTGGTTATCAAAAACCAGAAGCACTTGCGTAACCTAGATGGTGAGGTAGACAATATTCTCAAAGTCCTACATTTTCCCGGTCCCCTTCGAAGTTTCCGGTTAAGATATGAGGGATCATAGACCTGTACTTCGATTATTATTGATAACGGTTTCCAGGAAATTCTGTCAAGTCCTAAGCCCGGATTTGTCAGTAAAACAATAGTTCGAGAAATCACAAGATAAGTTTTCTCTTCGAGCAATAAAACCTGTCATACACGATCACAACGCAATCACATGATTCTTCCATAGCACCCAGCCAATATCTGTTTCTCGACAGAGGCGTTTCTCGATTGTACTCCTGAACTAGCTTATCATCTCACTTTTTCCCACGGTAAAATTTCAATAGCTGGTACATGATAATGACAATTAATACATGAAATAAATGAACTTAGTTTCCACAATTAAGCCTTGATTACTAAATGACAAGGTGGTAATGAAAGCGTTAATAAAATTACTAATTTACGCCCAAAACCAGTTTATGAGGCAGGCTAAAGAATTCGACTGCTACTGTAAATCACACTTTCGATTTGAACACTGCGTGTCATGAAGAAAAAAGGACTACTTCACTCGAACAATGCGAAAACAAAGGCACTCTAAGAGCCATTGAGGTTCAATTCTTGTACGCTCATTATCCTTTATAATCCTCTTAATACCATCTTTAAATTAAAAATGCTACCAAAAGCACGCATTAAAATATCTAAACAGGTGACTCTGGCGCAACGTAACAGGTGTGCTGCGTAGATCAATAGCTTCACTCCTGCAAAGTTCACTATGAAAGCGAGATTGTGCAATAGCATCTGTGAACACGCAACTCCTGCGCTTCCTATGAGGTTTTCTAAATTATTTTATTGAGTTTAGAAGTAAGAAGTTATTTTCTGCAGCAATAACACTGACAAGTGTTTTGAGTTTACCAAGCTTGATTTGTTGTCTGGTTTCTATTCGGAATTCGAACGTGCTCAAAGAAAGATAACACTAAATTCTCTCAGGTTAAAAGAATGACTTTACTCTAATCTCTCAAGTGGCCCCTCAAGTGGCGAAATCAGTCTTTTTCATGGCAAATTTTTTTTTGATTAGAGTGAAGTTTTTACCTTTGTTATGTCGCCAAAAGCTTGTGGTTTTTATCTGTTTACTAGGCCATTCATGAATCAAGTTTGTTTTTTTTTTTTTCAAACTTAATACTCTTCTGGTTTTAAATCATCTGCAAAACGGTGTTGGTTTTTGAATTAAACAAAGCGCACTTGATACTTATAACTTTTGCGCATTATTTAACGAGAATCTTCACGGATTTTGAGACGTATTCTTCAGTGCTAATTGACAATAATATCTCTTTTCCAGGTGAAGTGCTTTGTAAATCATTGATTAGTTCATGAACAGTAAATCCGTAAAACCAGCGAGCGGGTAGACGTATGCCCGAAGCCAATGGCTTCGCGAATTAACAAATTTGTTATGATTTTAGCGATACGTCATTCGGTAAATAAAAATTTTGCCGCGGTCTACTATCAAGAACGTTTGGAGCATATCACTAAAGTATATTTGTCGTATTTACTACTACAAATCGTTCACCCATATTTTCTTAATGCGATCACAATACCCAAAGTTTCCGCTTGATGCAGGCACCGGCCATTTTAATCTACGACACAACATGCTTCCATTTCCTCCTCGTGTATCAGTTCAACTGCTTAAGTGAATCAAAATGCGAGGTCTGGTTCTCTTGAGATCACGTTTGTGAGCATTGCACTTGCAGCGTCAATGGATTAGAATGTTTGAAAACAACGAGAGCTTTTCTCAAATATTTCTCGTTAGGGCCTAGGGTAGATTAAACTGTTTTCCAATATATATGAGTAAATAGAATCCGCAACGGGAAAATATCTTCACTATATTTACTTTTCAAAAGTAAACAATCTAAAATGGAGGCAAATAAAAACTTTTCCTTTCGAGCAAACATGGAGAATTTGTTCAAATAAATATCACTGAACTTACCCAAGGAGTTCTCCTGGGTTTGTACTTCGCCGTCGAGAAGGCAAGCAGAAGTGGCGGACGAATAGGCACTTTGCCTCCTTAAATCAAAGTTGATTAAATATTTATACTTTTGAAATATTTGATATCGTTTTAAAGGTATTTTATTTATACAAACATTCATGCAATATTCATAAGCTGTCACCGCGTCTTCCCATGACTTATGTAAACATAATGCAAAATTAACCGTCAAGACAGGGATTCTTTTCAAATTTATTTTCTTCATTTTTCTGAAGACAATAGCCGACGGTTGGATTTGTATCGATAAATGCACTTGTTGCCATGTGTGTATTCACCTTTTAATCCGACGAAATGAGATTTTCTTGCCAACCTTAGGTTGCTACTGCATAACAAGCTCACAAGTTATGAAATAACATCACATAACATGTTGGAAGAGTCTCATATTTTACTTGTATCGAGATCAATCTCCTTTTCATGCATCTGTGAAGAAAGAGACACAAAGTACCTGTATGGTTCAAGCTGTGTTTTTCCATGTGGAAACTTTTCACTTCTTTGTTAATAAACTCAGGAGCTCCCCGTTCAAAACATGGATTTTACTTACCAAGGCATTCAACATTCTTACAAACTTTGTACCTTTGTCCTTCAATGATTGTACTTTCAAACCGCCAACAACAGAAAGAACTACTGCTTTTCGAGTATTTCGCGCTGAGTCGACCAAATTGCAAGTTTTAACGATGGCCGGTTGTTTTTATTTCCTATTTCGGTCCATCTCGTGGTTTTTTCACAGTGTATACAATATTAATCTGGTTTTTCTCTGCAGGTGTCTGCTTTCTAGTGGCCCCTTTGCCAGGATTAACATTCTTTTTCGCCGCGAAACTATGTATGTTCGATGAAATGAGCCTCAGAGACCTTGCATCCATCTGTTGATAGTCAGTGAACAATCTTTTGAGATCTATGCGAGCAGAGCTAGTGATTAAATTGTGTGACATCTAATTTTGTGGTTGTTTAGTCCTGAAATTACAGAATCCAAATAAATTTGTTGCTTACAACAAATGGTTTATATCTCGAACTTTCCTCAGGAGGTACAATTATGGTTTCAGAAATATAGTTTTATTACTTGTTTTCTAAACTCACTTATAATCAAGCATCAGCAGTGACAGAATTGCGGTTACAAAGAATGGTCTTGTCTACATCTAAGTCTGAACGTTTAGAAGATTTTCTGAGAAAAGACTGATAAGGAGAGTTTGCTCTTTAAATTCCTCCCCATCTCTTGAACGATGGGCCTTGGCTCACCTGTTGTTTTTCATCGACTACAAGTTTGTGCGCGTTTTTTGAAAACAAAGGGAATATAGTTTTTATCAAAACCTCAAAGTTTGCCCTAGGCTTATAACATTTTTGTAATCAAGAGGGATGTTTCTAAATTGTTTGTTGTCAAAAGTTATGCTGCCAGATTTATGGGCAATTGAATTTCCTGGAGCTTGCGTTTAGACTAAGTTGAGTAATTTACTCTGTCATGTAACCTCTTAGTTGTACCTTGTATGTTCGTGCAAACGTGGGCAGTATTATGAACCGGTGCTTGTAAAAGGTGAGTGGATAAAATTTTAAAAACGATCGGCGTTCTTTTCGATAATTTTTTGACGTTATCGATTTCTTATCAAGCTTTCACGGAGCACTCCTGCTTTATTATTGCGATTCAAATCTGAAGCTCTTTGATACCACTCCAATATCGGTTGAGCTAGATTTGGAAAACGCTCACTGTTCGCTGTTCTGTTTGTTTACTCGCTTTGATTTTATCACAGTTTTTATCCTTAAAATTAACTGACGAGTGGTCATGTGAGAAACACGAAGTATGAGAAATCTTTGCCAGAAAACTACTTTTTTCAAGGCATGTTTGGTACAGATTTAGCGCTGTCTTTCTGAAAAAGGGTTGGTCGACCAAAATTGCACGAACAATGAGAATCTCATTTGACTTACGCGAAGTCTTGAAAAACGGTTCTCTTACACATATGGAATGAAATCACGGAACTACTCGTGGTCACTTGTTTAATTGACCTACTTTGCACTGTTATTGTTTATATTTGGAGCAAAATGAGAGGAAATGTTTTGAAAACTATCCTTGCAACCTGTCCATTGTGTTGCCATTTTCCACGATGTTTTCTTTTCTCTGTAAGAATAACTGAGCAGTGAAGGCATGCAACTTTTATAGGAAACGTGCCCTTAAATGCAAAGAAGGACACTAAATAATTCTCAGTGGTTTAATCTCGCCATTTTTCAAAGTTTTAGCCCACTGATTCACAAAATTGTCATCTTCGTTATTGATTGCCTTCTGAAAACAAACATTTGGAACTTGTTTCAATTTGTGTTTTGTAAATTCCTCTTCTTTAAGACAAAACATTTTCAGAATTTTCTAGGACGAGAAGTTCGGATATTTTCCTGTTCTCCCCACGTTCTTTAGTTTCAGTTTCTTTAGTTTCCATTCCTGCCTTAATTTACTTAAGGTTGCAAATGACGTAGAAGTTTTTGTCTTTCTTTTTTTTTCAGGAAATGATCGTTATTCTTGTCCAGAATTGGAGGTTTTTTTTTTTAAACAGTATGAAACGTGAAAGTTTTATTATTATTTGAAGATAGCTTCTAATGGATACATTTTTGTTTTTATGCCATCAGTGTGCATCAACTGAGGCTGTTAAGTTCTTTAAAAGTATTAAAGTCATATTAAGATGCTTAATTGTCTTATATATCGGAACTGAAGAATTTTCCCCTCAGAATTCAGCTGTTAAAACTAGCGGTTACGTGCTGGTTGTTTGGTTGTGAGAGCTACATGTTTTGTGGTAATTGTAGCCGGAAAGTTCTCAGGAAAAATCGAATGCTTAAAGGAACGAAGGCCAATATCCTTTTGTCTCCCGACTAAAGCCTCATACTGACAGGTATTGTTTGTATTGGTACTTAATTTTTGCTGTTCTCTTCTCAGGAACGAAAGACTCATTTCCAAGTTAATATGGATCGCTCTGAAATAAAATGAACAGCTTTTCCAAAGATGGCCAAGTGAAGAAATTCAAAGGAGCCCATCTGTGTCAGTCCGAACTTTTTGAAGATTATCTCTGCCATGTGAAGTGTTCTGTCTTGCATTGTTTATCTAAACGCTCGCTAAATTGAATTAACGTTCAACATGTAAGTGTAAGTACCTTTAAGCTAATTTTCTACTTAGGCCAAGACTACTCTGACAAGCTACCAAAGGCTTGTAATCCTACCTAGAAATAGTAAACATTTTATGGTAAAATATTACGACTCGAACGTTTTCATCTTTTGCTTTTTATTTTCATGTGAGTTTGTTTTTCGTTTTTTATCGTGGTTTGGTTAGGGTTTCCATAATTTCTTTGTTTTTCACACAGGCTTGTCATTTTGTGGTTCCCCTAGTTGTTCTCGGTTTGAATTTTGTTGTTTTGAAATGTTCACTTTTTTCGACGCTGGTTTCCTTCGCTTTCCTTCATGTAGATTCCTGAGACTTATTTGGAGCTAGTTGTTTCAAGATTGACAATATAAACTAGCAGTTTTCAAAACAAATACTTTTAAGTCGGGTTGGTTCTAGCCAGAGTGTAATGCACGGATACTTGGAACCCTAATTTTTTTCAGTGAAACGTTTTTAAAGAACCATATTTTATTTTCTTCTCTAAGTACCCTCCCTTCTTCTTTCGTTGAACTGTGCTCCCTTAACTTTCCTCAGTGACGATAATCTAAGTTGTTTCAGATATTAATAGCATAACAAGCGAGGAAGAAGCAGGCCGTTATAGGCATCTTAAGAGCAATTCTGGGTAAATTTCGAGGGTTATTTTCACTACGGGCGACAAAGCAGGTGAGCATGTATTATTACATCACTGAGACAAAGTCTAGTCATGGAAGACGGCGGAATAGGAATATTCATTGTACTAAAACCTTCTGACTAAACGTTTTAGATTGATAAATCGAGCTCGAAGTTTTGATTTTCCGCTTTATTCCACGTCATAATTCCTATTCACCTTTCTCAATAAGCCACAATCGGCAAATCATCTAGTTGGTCGTTTTTGATATTATTGAGAGAATCTGAAAAATACGAAGACAATTTTTTAAATTCAAAACAAGTGGAGCTCAAGTTAAGACTAGTTATGTCTTGTGTATCTCTTGGTTGTTTTCAAAGTTCTCTAAACACAATTCCAAAAAATTTCATGTCTTTCTATGAACGACTTCATTTTCAAAATGGCTACGAAGCCAAATGGTGATGCTAAAAAAAGTAATAGAGATTAATTTATAATTTTTTCTGCGAAACTGAGTAATGTTAGCTGGGCTTCACAACTCCTTTTCTTTTTTAACTGTGTTTCAACTATTCACATTTTGGTACGACGAAAAAGTGGGACATTTCCAACTTTATAAAGTTTTGGGCGAATCTCAAAAAAAGCCACCCAACTGAAATTGCTAAGGTTTTTCAGGTCACTTTGAAATCCCTCGAATTTCCTAAATTCGTTTCCGTTTACTTTTGCTTTGAGGTGCTACTTATAAGTATATATAACTCTGGGAGCAAGAATTCCCAAAATAACATTTATAAAAAATAAAAATGAAATATAAAAGTTAAACGAAGATCATAAGGTGGGGATACTTGGAGGTTGCAAATGCTCTTTTAAAGTTTTCAGTACTAATCGGCTTAAACTAAGACCGAAAAGCTTCATGGCTTCTCACGTGTGTCGTAGAAGGCTTACAACGCCTGCTGTGGAGTAAAAGTTCTGGTCTAAGCGTTTTTCTAGCAGTTTTATGTGGGTCTGCTTCTATGGCTGATAATTTGTTTTTAAATTTAGCTTGACGGAAGACGATTTCGCTCCAAAGTTGAAGTTGTCGGCTTTGTGTCGCTTCCTAGGTGTTAGAAAATAATCCTTTAGCACAGACCTGCTGTAGAGAAGTGCAATCAACACCTGCGGACTTTAGATTCACAAAAGTAATTAAATATTTTTATTGTTCGGCTTATCTAGTTACTTGAGAGGTACTTTATGTAATGATCCTTCCGTCCAGCTGCACAGCCTCTCTGTCTGTTTGTCTATTGTAGTACAGTTTTCTCCGAGAGATTAGCTGGGTTATAGTCATGAAACTTCAGAGCTCAAAATTCGATGGTACATCGCCTAAATGCCGCCTACTTGAGTTAATCCCAGCATTAGTTACGTTGTTTTTGCAACCTGTTGATTTTCTCAGTACTCAAATTAAATGCGTTTTACGGCTAAAAAAAGCACTCAAGGTGCATCAGTTTTACCAAGCTCTAGAATATCTATTGTTTCACAAAATTTACCGATAGTTTCACTTTCTTTAAATGCTGCCTTCAGCCAAGAAGCAGAGAAAAGTTGGATAATCTTCTTGGCCTAGGTGAGTACTCTTCACTAATCTATCATTTCATTTTCTTTTACTAGTTTATTATGTAATTTTTCAATTATTTTTCTTTTGTGAGCTTACCCCCCTGGGGCCACACCGTAAGTATAAAATACATTTTTCTTTATTATATCTCAGTATTTATGTTTTCTCAGTTTTATTTGGTGAAATTTAGATTCTGACCAAAAGTAGATCTGCAACCTCTTTTTTATTAAGAATAAGGAAAATTGAAATTCATTCTGAGGAGAAAGCACCTTCTGAGCTACGTCTCAGAACGGTACATGAATATGCGAACCTTTCAAAACCGCGAAAGGACTGGAAAAGCTCTTTCTTAATTTGTATTACACGAAAATAATTCTGAAAATTTTATTTTAGACGTATAAAATTATGATCTCATGTAAGCTATAAATCAAATTCTTACTCGCAAGCAGCTATATTCCAAAATTAAAAAAATGTGTCTCAGCACGTTATCATAGCTATAAAAGTAATTTTTCCTCTATGTTGACAATTTTCCGTCGCTTACAATAGGTTTTAGAAATGAAATTCTTATTGAGTTTTGTTCTTACTCAGTCTATCATCATGTTTGAAATTATAAATAACTGCTCTTGATTTGATATTTTAATTCCACAGTTACATTACTGTTAAGTTAGCTTGATAACAGTGTTAGTTTGTTAATTGTTACAATATTTTTGCTTCCATAATAAGCTGCCCCCCTATAGAAACTATCAGCACCAAAGATTGTTTGTTGATATAACACAGCTTGTTTCCAAGCGAGTGCAGAGATCAGATCATCGACCCTCGCGTACGTATGTTTTTAAAAGTTGTAAACTGCTTCCAAACGTAGTCGCCAGTATTTTAACTGGAGCTGACTTCGATACTAATTAGTTTGTAGAATTGGAGGCTGATGTCTAAGTACCCTTTGGCTCCTTCCATGTTTTGATCACTTCTCGTCAGAAATATGCTTACTCAGGCAAGTCTTCATTCTTCACATTATTTTTTTACGTTTTTTTTTTTGACATGTCATTCTTTGGTGATTTTCTTCATGTGCATTTTACAAAGCCAACACCACAATATCCAATACATTATATACTGATTTATTTAGTTTCTTTCAATGGTCATAGTGCGACTCCGTTTATTTTTACTTGATTCTTAAATCACAATCGTAAAAGAATATGCCTGTCATGTCTCGTGGCATTTTCTAACAAGTACGATAACATAGAGTGATAAAGAATATCTGTCAAAAAACATTACTCCATCAATATGAATAATTTTTCTCGATCCTGATTAAATTGCCTGAGGCACTAATTAAGGCGTTCATGTGCTCTACACTTTCTTTTAAAAGCACTTTAAAATGTTCTCAAATTTTGCTCACCATGCCTAGCCTCGTTGCAGGGCAAGTTCAGTTTGATGTTTATCACAGACTACGGTCTGGCGGGCTTGGAAAATTTCAAAAATGTAGAGTGCTGTTAGGATGAACAGAGACATCGAGGCCGTAATATAATGCCATGAATTTTTCATTCAAATTTCCTCTTTGTTTCTTTTGCACATTTTGGGTAAGTAATTCTGCAAGTAGTTTTCTTATCTATTAATTTTATTAATTTCCTGAGGTTATAGACTGTAGACGAAATGTGTTTTGCTTTTATGAAGGTAAACAGATGCGGATATGAAATCATTTGGATTGAACTGAAATGAAAAGTCTTTTCAATGAATATTGCTCGAAGGTTGTGTGACTAAAAAAGGAACAATTACCCTTATAAATTTCAAATATAGCTTTTTGTGACACAATTCAAACTAAGTTTTGTGTAATTGTAAAAGCTAGGTAATGCAAAATTAACGATTGATTCGTTTCCATATACTTTTGTTACCGTGTTCTCATCTTTTCCGCCCTTTTAAGAGTGAACATTAAGGTGTTGCTGAGTCTGTAACTGTGTAAATTCTCTCAATTACATGCAAGTTACGAGGAAGACTGAAAATACAGTGTTACTAAACCGTATATATCCAGGTTGCCATTTTATTTTGAGAATCCTCGAGCTAAGGCTAGATTTCCCTACATCCTCTTAAGACTAAGAACAAAGAAGAATAAAATCTTATACCACAATATGAAATGAAGCCCAAAGGTTTTTTGGGGAACTTAGTCTTTACACGAACTTTTCTCAAAACATTAATATACGAAAAGTGCACGTTATATTTGCAAACAGCGATGAATGTTACAAGTTTTTTCAAAACAACTAAACTTTGAAAACCAATCTTAGCATAAGTTATTAATAATCTTGCTATTTTCCAAACATATGGACCTGTCTATGATAAACTGATCTCTTTGAGACATTTACCACAGTTGTAAAGTTTAGCGAATGGTTACAGGTTTTGGTCTATCTCAGTTGTCAATTGTTAGACATAACCATAACCGTTTAGAATTTGTGCATTTTGTTTTTTGCATGAGTATCTTTTGCAAGACAAAACATGAAGATTCAGAGATGCTGTTGGATAAAATTGGTTACGTATCATGTTATGCGTTTAGTAAAACTAGTAAATATTGAATATTGTTATCCAATTTCCATAAAGGCGGTCGTCATTTTGGCAATTCAATCAGCTGTTGTTTTGATTCTTAACGTTTCATGAGGCACTTATGTTGTTTGCTACGAAACCTGTGAGTTTTAGAATTGTTAACGTTTTCAATCCAGGCCAACACTCTCATTCTTATACCAAAGTTCATAAAAATAGGTACAATGCATTCATCTCAAAAGGGCGGGTAGTTTTCTAGGTGACAATTAGGGCTCTGATAACTGTTCTCATCCTTTTAAATCAGACTGTCTTCTAAACATACTTTAGTCTGATACCCTCCTGGTATTAAGGTGAAAATTGAAAGCTTTCTTGCGACTAAATAATTTTCCGTGATTTTTCTCCCTCTCAGTTTTGTTCGATATTCAGTATTTTCCTTTCACACCGTTCTTTATTTTTTTAGGTTTTTTGTTAAAGGGGCAACACACGTCCGAACTAAATGACTTGAGAAAAGCATTGTTAGGAGAAACATGCCGCTTCATTACGCATGGAAAACTTCTTCGACAGCGAATTTTGTTCCAGTACCAAGTACATAACAAGGTTTCTTTCCAGAGTATTTCAAAACATTTTCGACAATTTGGTCATCAATGTATCGCGCCACAGCCACAAAACCTCAAGTTTATACTTTCGATTTTCCTGATGATGCTTCCATCAAGTCCCTTGTTTTCGAACCACCTGCGGCGTGCTGTTGTTCATTGGTGTTTTCTTTCTTCAATTTTTGTGAATATGGTAAAAATATATTTCTTAGTGATATAACAACGATACACCTCGCGTCTAATTAGAGCGTTTTTCCCTTCAAAAAAATTACAACTAATTCTGCACTTTTCCATCGAAACTTATTCACGTACTCAAAGCAAAATCAATTTTCATATGTTATAAAGCAACCAGAACTCGGAATTGACCCAGTTGTACGATAAACTTGGATTTGTGGTTAGAGTTGAAGAAAACTTCAGCAACTATCCAGTGAAAGCCGCTCGAAACTTAAAAGTATTGTTTTATGTTTAAGTCAAGATATTAAAGACGGTCGTGTTGGATGGAAGAGATGGTTATTGAAGCGAGATCTCCAAAGCTGATTTTCTCCTTTATAGAAAGAGCAATGCAGGAATTTGTTGTGAAATTATTTTACGGTTTTCCATTTTTTTGTAACTAACTGGCTTGGGCGGCCACGAAGACACCCTAAGTTTTAAGATTTGTAAATTGTAGCGAACAATGAATATCTGCTATTCAGTAAATTATTCAATTGCTACATTGCAGTTCTATTGATTTATCTTTATCACCACAGGTTTGACTTTCACTACAAGTTACGCACTGTGTAACCTGTTTACTCCGATGAACTTAATCATCTAATTGCGTGTGGGAGACTCACTCGTGGTCATGTGTTGAGGCTGTCGAGAATTACTCCAGTTTTGCGTATCATCGCATTTGACGATTGTGACATACAACAGTATAACATGTTTATTGTTTGAGAAAAGAGGGGAAGCAGAGTGAAGCTAATTTAGTGGCCCCAATTACCCCTGACCGTCTGTTATCATAACACTTGCCAAGAAGGAAAGCCAGGTAACAGTTGAACACACCTTAACGACAAATAAAATCTGTTTTCAGAATTCTGCAAGTCAGAAAAGCGCGGTTTTCTGACCAAGATTTGCACTTGAACAAACCAGGTACCTGCTCCGAGATAAGAGCACAGTGCTTTGATGTTTGGTAAGGACTAACTATAGTTTGTTTGAACAAGAAATCACACCACCGTCCGCTCTATTACAACAATAACATACTGCAACACATTTTTTTAGTGAAATAAACAAGTATCGGCCTAATACGGGTGGGGTAGATCTAGAGACAAAATTTGACGTAGAGATAGTTGTAGGTACATTATTAAGTTAATAAGTTTTAAGTTCGTTCATTTTTGTATTTGCCATCCAGCCAACACCTCACCTGTTAGAAAAGACGGTTATCTTTGTGAGAAGTGACCATCTGAGGTTCTTCAAACCTTGAGACTGCACAACTTCATGCAATTTTCACATGAAAATAGCCCCATCACTTGTTTTTTTATTAAGATTATAGAGTGGAAATTAGCAAAAGTATACCCCTTTAATTTTTTCCTGAGGTCAGGCATCAACTGAAAATGTTCTTTGCTAATTGAAGTATATTCCCTGCGGCTGAGAAGATATTTTATGTTTCAGTCATTGCAGATCAAAAAACGGCTTATTTAAGTTTTACCTTTGCTTGCTAATTCCTACCTATTTCTATTTAGGAGAATTTTTGTTATTGTTATCTTTATTTCATCGAAATAAATAGCTTTTTGACTTTTTGTATTTTCATGAGCACGCCTGTTATGCACAGACCACAATTTATGCCTGAAGTGCAATTACCTTTAAAATCCGAATTGACCAAACATTTCTACTTTAAGCCTCTCTGGCTGATTCTCTTAATTGGTTTGATTTAATTTGTAAAGTGAAATTAAGATTTCCGATTAAAAAAAAGCGGAACTGCGGCCATTTCTTTTGTGTGGATGGATTCCGACGAATGATAAATCTTGCCGACTAAAAGCGTTTCTGAGAATAGCTGTGCTTAAGTGGATAAAGTGCTAGAGCTTGGCAATTTCTTGAACTTTTAATGCGAGTCTTAATTATACACGTAGACACCTTTACATTTCTTTAGCCCTAGGGACAAAGCTTATTGACAAATGTAGGAGTCTGAAAGAATACATCATGTTGTAAAATAACATCGCTTTCCTAGCGACCGCACTTTTCGTCGATCAAATATAACTTGAACTCAAAATCGTTTCATTGGTTGGCTATCAAATACAGTTGTTATCCACTGTACTAATGTTTTTTATGGAGGGATATTTTAATGTTTTAATAACCTTTTTTCTTGGATTGGAGAAAAAGCAAACTGTTTCTAGAGTGTTTATCCACTTTTTTACAGTTCCCTACCCTGTCTGTGCAGACTGTGTTGATATTTTTCTCTCAAGAGATGCCTATTTGCTTAGTTATTTAGACTGATAGCGGTATTTTGGTGTGTCTTTCCAAAAATATACACCGCTTTCATGAATTCACAAGATAGAGAAAGCGAGACCTCAATCACGATACGCATATGCGAAAAGCGAGAAATATTTACATACTTTAATCACGTTCCGCGGCCTTTGCAACAATGGAGACTCCGTAGCCGTTTTTAATTCCTTTCCTTAGCTGTTCTTATTTATAGAAACTTAACAGGCATCTCTGAGGTTTTTCCATGTTTAATTCCTTAAAAACATTTACACATCTGGTTTACTGTTAAGTTCTGACATTATAGTAATTTCTTCTTTCGATTTGCTTCAGCAGTGCTTTGATTTATTCTGCATTTTCCATTAAAAGGCCAATCTTATTTTCCTTCCTTCAATTTGATCAGGAAATTTTTTTTCGTTAATATCAGTGTTACATCTCCCTTTCATTATTTCCATCTCCTTCTAAGTCAGAAAAGATGAAATTGATAACAGAAAACTATTGTTAAAAGAAACAGTTAATGATGTCTTCCTTCCCGATTTTAAACTCACGCCACATGTTCACACTCTTAAATCTTTGCGCATAGCTACATATTCCAATTCCTTGGTTCCTTTATGCAGCTTTAGTTTAATCATTTGATGCAGAATCAAATACTAGAATATACGAACCGAGAGAGTCTATAAACGTAAGTGTAGCGATCATTTTCATTCATAATATGTTTCTTGCTGCTTTAAATGCTACAGTACGATTATTTTGTTTTCAAGTTATCAGCTGCGTGTGCTAAGTGACTGCCTGGGGATGTGAGATCTTTAAAATGGGAATTGCTGTGATGATATTAGTGATAACTGATGAATGGATTCATGGTAACCGTCGTAGAAGTTAATAGTATTAAAAGTTCTATATTTGTTCAATTTGATCTGAACCTTAAGTGGTTTTTAATACTTCTTCTTAAATGTAACAAGGATATTCGTGTGCTGAGAAATAAATGTAGATTAAAAAAAATTACTTTTTCTGATGGTTCTTTAAATTTCCCAATCTTGGATATTGAGGACTGTCGTAAATGTGAACTTGGATTAATTCTTAAAACGGCAGTAATTCAGGGATTCTCCCATTTCCATAGCCCAAACTTGTTCCATTCTAGTCAAAGCATGTAATCTAACAACATGAGCAAATGGTTGACTAAGATAAAACTGAACGTTCATTATGGACTGGACTGTTGTGCGGGAGGTCGAGGGTTCGAGCGCCGGCCGGACCAGCACTCAGGGTCTTAAAAATAATTGAGAAGAATTTGCTGCCTTTTTATAACATCAAGAAATGGTTAGATATTCTAGTCTTCTCGGATAGGGACGAATAAATGGAGGTCCCGTCTCCTGCAGGGTTGGGGTAGGAGACGTTAATTTCCCACACACGAGATTACTGTGTGATATATGTCCTCCCCTGGGGTGGAATGGGTGGGTTTATTGGACCTGCAGTAATCGGTGCAAGCTGTTGCGGTGTCCCTGCCGGTTTGCGAAGCTAAATAAAATAAAAAATAAAATAATTTTGCACTTTTCTTTGTTGGCCTGGGTGGTTGTCGAGTATTGATAACTTTCGCAAAACGACATGCACCCACTTAGGTAACGAAATGAGGTCAGCTGATTTAATCTATGAACTAAAGTTTGGGGCACGCCATATCTTTATTAACTTGTGTTTAATAATTAGTGACTACATAGAGCAAGTGATTTTACTTTAGATTTACATTAATTTGTGTAAATTGAACGTGCTTAATTTTCTTCGGTCTCGCGTACCTCCACACTAAATAAGGTGTTTTCAATCTTTGAAAACTCGCAATAGGAGGCGATAAGTCTGAAAACACAGGGTTTGCGTTGTCCAGACGGCTGGCAACGAAACAACACTCTCTTCTAGTTTGCCGTCAAGTTAAGAAGTTGTAATAGTTTATCTTCCCTTTTTGTCGTTGTTGTACGAGTTTGAGATATGGCTAAACAAGTCCAGTCGTTCTCCAATTTTGTCGTAGCCACAGAGCGCTCTAGAATTTATGTCAATAATTATATGCTAAGCACGTAGCAACGTTGAAAGAAAGTTCCTGTACGTGTAAAAGGCGTGCTTAATGAACAACTACAATAACAAACACCATGGTGTACCGTTTACGGGCTTATTTGGAAAGAGTACATCCTCCAAATAAGCACGGTGTCTGGAAGACGGTGGTGCTTATTCAGAATTAGATAATTTATTGGGAGTTGTAAGAATTGGTTAAAATTGTTACTGAGGATATCCATGCAAGAAGAGCACAAACTGTTTTGTATGCATTTTTCGGCGCATTTTCTCTCCAAGAAGGTAAGCTCGAAGGTAAAACGGTCTACGAGGCGGTTTGGACTGACCGTTTATGTTAATTTCCGTTATCGTGTACAAAATTCAGTCTATGGGTGATGTACTTTATATCGAGTGATGAACTTTTTACAAAGAAATATATGCGTACTTCTCTTTTTGTTTTATCAGAGCGATGCTACACAGTAGTGACGGTATCATTTAGGACACCAGTTATAACCGGGTGCAGAACGGCAGCCTCAGCGTAAATGTTAATCAAACATAAGGCATGCGCAGCCCCGTTAACTCGGACGTTGACGTCAGTGTAGTTTCAACAATAAAAGATGAGCACGTTTATGGATGTACCTGTTCACAGGCTGTATTCACCGCCTGTTGATGATCTTTGGTGAAATACATATGAAATAAAAAGTAATTTACCAGCTACTGACTTCCACTCCAATTATAAATGTAGTAAATATATTTTGTTGTATGGCATGTATCAAAACCTTGAACGTTTAGTGCACCAATTTACATAGAATATATCGATAAAATAAATCAAGTTTCAAGAATTCAAAGACATTGACAAAAGGGGAAGCAATTGAACCTGTGTGATGGTTTTATAGCGGCCTAATTCTAAAATAAATAGGCTTAAGATAACATCAACGATTATAATTCGACGTTCGATACAGAGCGGCAAAAAGGTCGCCGAGAAATTTCATAGTCCTGATCAGTTCTCTCTCTTTGTAACACTCTGGTTTTGCTTTTGCCTCCGACATCTGTGAAAAGAATGGTCTGGATAGTAACCTGTTCTAACAACAGGCGTCTTCATTCACAAATGGTTGGGCGCCAAGGGCCTTGCCCTAACAACCTGTGGGAGAAATCTGAAATTGTTAAGACCACTGTTTTATTCCCTAGTCAGCTATTTCATTTTTGAACAACGTGAGATTGTACATTAACCAGCTTTTAGATGAAACAATGACTACCTTTCTACATCAGTTCACCTTTGCGGCACTCACTCACCGGACGATTTAGTTTTTCTGCGAATGGTTCTCGGTCAGAAAGTGTTCCTATGGTCTCATTTGGTTCACTCTAGCTTTTTCGTCGATCTGACCATGCACAGTGTTTTATAACTTAAACCCCGAATAAACCTTCCACAAAATGGTTGATCCTAAGCTTGAACAAAATCCTTTTCTGTATACTCTTTGACACTGTTTGCAAATAGTAAAGTTCTATTAACAAAAAAGTTATAAAACTCTTCCGTTGAAGCTCCTTCTATAACTTATCCTTGAGATTTTTGTTGTATGACTTTAACTGAGTAAAATGTAGTGACTACTCCAAAAACTGGAACTTACAAACTGCTCTGCATGTTGCTGTAAAATTTTTTTGGTGGTCTGTAAAGACTTAATTTAACTTTTTCTCCTCGTAAAGAATCGATGTCGACGTGTCACTAGAAAGCTCCAAATCGTTTAGACCCAGTAAGTTTCCTAATAAGTTCCCCAAAATTTGAGTATCAAATGATGTGCAGTTAATAATCCATCATATTATATAGATACTTCTTTTATGTGGAAATTTCATCAGTATCTATATAATAAACAGAACATTACATGGCCGCTTGGGGATATGAATTTTATCTTCGAGTGCTGAAAGTATCTCTCACTCGTTCGCTGCGCTCACTCGTGAGAGATACTTCAAGCACTCGAAGATAAAACTCGTATCCCGCTCGGCCATGTAATATCCTCTATGTCCATCACTGAAGATTCCTTAGCGGAAAGTTGTTGGATGACGTTGGATAGAGGGCGTCCGGAGAACTTCTCCAATATATGAACTCTCCATGAACATACGATGTAAGGTGGGAAATTTGTGAATCGAATGCTTCAGGTCTGTTGCTTTGAATACTCCAGCCGGTTGGCGATATTTAAGAATCAAAACTTTCAACTTGGTTTGAAATTCTCCTATTATAAAGCAGCTCCAGTAAGAGAGCACATGCATACCGGGTTAAAATGTCTTTTAGATTATGTCTTAGAATACACAGCAAAAGTGAACATGGTACAATGGAAAGCAACAAATTTATACAAAATCAGAGTCAATTGACAAAAGTTTTTATTCCCAACAACAGAAATGTTCTCTGTTAAAACACAACAGACTCATCCAAACATATCGTCAAGTTTCTGTTTGGCTGCATTTGTAAAATTAATACTAATTTCAACTTAACCTGGCGACATGAGACTTTCTCCGTCATTGGCTTTTCATGAGTGAACTTCTATTAAATGACAACGTCGGTCCGGTCCCAGAACTCGCCCATTCCTGCTCTCGATTGGTAGAGGCTGATCCAGGGCCAGAAGAAAGATCCGAAGATTTTCTCCCCAATTTTACAGTTAACACCTCTAAAAGCCTCTTTCATAAATGGCGGACATAGTTATTTTTCTTTTATATGTAAGTAGATTAGCCTATTTGGCCACGAAAACATGTAAACTCTATTAATATATGTCTTACGCAATAATCACCTCTATTGGGAGTAAGTTACTCCAAACCTGTGCAATCCATCTCGCAACCAAATTACAACAATGCCAGCTAAAAGTTTGTGCGGAATTTTCACAACGCCCGATGCTCTTTAAGAATACAGCTCATTGACAGCAAGCCATCTTGTAGTCGGCAACTCACTTCTTGGCCTTTTTTAGCAAAATATCTCGAAGGAAAAATTTTTTTTGTTTTCTTCCTTGTATATGTGAGGGAACAAGCTCATTAGCCACTAATTGACCAAAGTTTAAAAACCGAAACCTGTCGAACTGACTCAAAAGTATTCATTCGGACAGACAGTTAGACTTAATAGCAATAATAAGAAGAGTGTCTTTTCTTCCTTCCCCGTCTCCTCATTCCGCCTTCTAATAGTCGGGGGAGAGGAGACAACATCGGAGCTGAAGAAATGCGAATAAATTCAACTTATTATGCTCCTGTATTTTCTGGCTTTCCAACCTGTTACCCGTAGAACCTCTTTAAGAGCCTTTTTGAATGTGTGTGTGTGTTTTCGACAGAAACGATCACTCGCCAGAACGATTACCACAAGCGATCGTAAGAGCGGACGAAGATTCGTTAGCTTCCGAACAAAAACTAGAAGTTTGGGCGTCCATGTATAAAGGCAAGTAACATTGCGCCATTAGCAGTGCTCGTGAGAGTTTGTGGCGCATCGATGTAATCAAATTTAGCCCTTGCAAATGTCTTTTAAATTGCTATGCTTCGATCCGTAGCCTTTGCAAAGGACAACGCAGCTTTGTTTAAAATAACAGTTTAAAACCTTTAAAATTGTTTTGTCTGGCCGTTGTTTATTGTCGTAGCGGGAAGTGATCAATGACGCAAAAGATATTTGATATTCATATTTTTTGACTACTGAGTTTCTGTAGTATGAAGAAGCTCAAGGTGTCTGCAGTTGTTTGACTGATGCTATTTCATTCAATTTAATCAGAAAAGATAAAAAGCCTCGACGTGTTAATATTTATAATTGTTACAGAAAGAAAACATGCGAAAGGTCAGATCGCGTAACCGATTACTACATTTTCGTTTTAAAAGTTCCATTTTGGGTGTCAGGTGATTGCAGCCGGCTATTGATTATATTTTCATGTCTGTCGTTTGCCAGCATAAGATCTCACTGTGTTGGAACGTTCTATTGAAAGCGACACTTACATCCTGTGGTTTCCTTTCAGCAAAGCGATATTATGGTTGATTTGCCTTGCACAATTAGGAAATAAATGCATGATGTTGGCTTGGCTTGTGTTTGGTCACGTTTCTTGACACGATTGATAACTGATGCGTGAATGTAGAACACACAGATGTCAAAAGATATCTATTAAATTGATGTTTTCGTTATTGATATGCTTGTCACCTCAGCGAACGTAACTTGATTACTTGAGTGATGTTTTTCAAAACGGTTGAAGAGATAAAATGAATGAACACATACCATGTGATGCTATGCATGGAGCCGATTTCAAACTTTCCACTTTTGTTCCAGTTCATTCCCATTTGAAGACTCTACAGAAGACAGCCCTTGAGGCATTGTTTGGGGCGGTTGTGTGACGTCATGTCCACCCCGCTCTCTTAACCTTTATCCAGTATTGTTGATAAAAGTTTCATGTTACTACGAAACGCAATTGAGAACTGCAGCAGAGAACGTGGTCAAAGCTAAGCACAGTGAGCGCAACTGGGAGACAAAAACAAACTAACCTTCGCGATCATTCGATCAATTATTAGACTTTGCTATTAAGATGGAATTACTTTACATTCTCATTGGGCTTTTGATCACAAATTACTGTTTGGGAAGGAGTACACTGCAACACCTACATCAAAACCGTGAGCAGGGAGTTCAGCATAGAGGTGGGCATATTATTGATTTGGAGGGCACGTAAAAGAACAAACATATGACAGACACACTGCTGAGATGAAGAATTAAAATTTAGCTACAAAATAGCTATAGTTTGTTGCACTGGTGTTTTACAATATTACTATTAGACGTGCTGTGAAATTTGTTGGCGTAAACCAATTAACACTAGCATTTGTTAAAATTTCATAATGTTTAAGTGCTATCAATTATGTAAACACCTATTTGACCGCACATTATTCAACAAAACTACTGTGTCTATTATGAGTTTTATTGTTTTTAAGGAGCGTATTCAAGAGAACAGTAATTACATCTGTGCCGTTTGACCAACGAAAGATCAAAGCACAAAAGTTATCGATTTCACACCTATGATGCCCATTAAATTCATCATGTTTTCTCTTTTGTGAAGCGCACCTTCATTATTAATTTGGCTTTTGGTTGTATTTATCAATGTCATAAACTGACGTCAATGTTGTGACGCTTTTGTTATCACAAAATTTCTTTGTTATCTGTTTTTATGTTTGCAGCTTTTCCGTCCATTTTTGTTCTTTGCCCCGAATCAACTGTTTCATTTTGAGTGAAATAGTCGTGTTAGAAAGGGTGACCATCTTTTTCGGTTTTGATCCAACCCTGTCTAGCTTCTCGTCCTCCGTTATGGCTGCCATTCCATCCCTTCCTTTTTTCTTTCTTTCTTTCTTTCTTTCTTTCTTTCTTTCTTCTCGCTCTCTCTTATCTTTCCCACCGCCCACCTTTTTCCATCTGGCTAAACAGTCAAGCTCAAATCTGATTCGGTCCAGCCATGTACTTGTTCTCCTAAGAAACTTTTGCTCGCGAAGGGCTTGAGTTTTAAACTAAAGCTTTTGCAATCACTTGTTTCCAAGTTAATCACGTTTGAGCGTAAGCCGGCCATTTCCTACCCCATAGAAGTTTCAAATTTGCACCAATTTGGATCCCTCCAGCTCGCTCCGGCTGGAAATCATTACAAAGCTTTCGATTGAAATATTTGTTACGTAGAATCACCTTCCAGCCGATTCATGTTACATTGCTAGTGAAGATTGAGATCAATCTTAGCATCTTCGTCACTGTGCACGAGGATTACGAGACGAGAAAGGAATTTAAAATGCCAAAATTAGGGTTTAGTTAAAACATGGCTGCTGTTTAGGAGACTACGCTACGTCACTGATCTTCTGTGTATTTGAAAAGACATAATGGTATATTTTTTATATTAGAAAGATGCATGGCCCTACGTGCTGAATATCTAAAGTGGTTCTCTGCCCAAGGCAGCTGTCACGAGTTGAAAATAAAATAAGAATCACTCTAGGGAAGAACCAAACAGCAAAGTCTTTAATGCACAATAAGACCGCAAACATAAACATTCTCAGACGTAATCATCATCACTTATGTACTTTTTTAAAAAATCATAGTGTTTGATCACCCTAAGGCCACCAAAACATTGCCATTCATTTCATCTGGCATTGATTTTTTCAAAACCTGACACTAAATACTGAACTGAAGACCACAGAAGCATTCTCTAGTTAGAAAGAAGCAATGCTATGCAACGCTTAAAGCTAATGGGCGAAAAGAGACAGCTCATCTTCTAAAGAGGCGATCGCGCTCAACTGAGCTGTTCTCTTCTTTTCAGTAAAAGACGAAAGGATCTACGAAGGCGACATTTTTCTGGATCGAAGCACTCAGTCCTTACTTCGGAGTCTGAGAAGGCGACCGGTTCGAAGTGCCATTTTATCACCAAACAAAAAGTGGCCTTCGAATGCCATACCTTACAATTTTGGAGGCGTTAGTGAGTAGTATATTAGTAAAGTTGTGCAGCGATAGGGAGTGAAGCTATTTAGTTCGGTGCATCGAGGTTCTGTGTTGTGGCTATTCATAACTACATAAAATACAAAAAAAAAAAGTGATCCTAGCTGGGCCAAGCAGTTTTCAGAAACCTCAATACTCACCAAATCATAACAGATGTGGTTGGAGCCTATCCATCTTAAAAAGAATGTTAGGCCGATGTTTCCTCTTTTTCAGATTCTTCTTATCCATGCAGGACATCCTTACCCATGATGCATTGCATTTGACATCGAAATTACATCAAAATACACTACTACCCCATGCATAACCAAGCCGGTAGTAAAGATCAACATATACCCAATCTCACTGGTAATTGTTTCCTCTTCTTAAAGGCTCGCGAGTGAGGGAAGCTGTCGAATTTGCTATCAAAGACATTGAAAAGCACACGTGTATCAGATTCGTCGCGAGGAAAAACGAAGAAGACTACATCCATATCGTGTCACGTGGAAAATAGTAAGTCCTGAACATATTAACAATAGAACTAAGAAGGGAGAGGTGGGCTGTTGGTCGAAGAGTTTCTCTGGACTCGACATAGCACCCCTGTAGTTTCATTAGAAACCAGTGACCTCGTTCATTTCTCTACAGTACGCCTCAGAATGTCTATCCCTTAACTTAAAATTTTCTCCCATTGATTTTTTATATTATCTGCCTGTCGACTCATAGTTGCTGGTCTCCAATCGGACGCAGCGGTGGCAAACAGAGACTTTCTTTAGGTAAAGGTTGTGGTGATCGAAAGGGCACCGCCATACATGAGTTTATGCACGCACTGGGCTTCTTTCATGAACAGTCCCGCCTGGACAGAGATAACTACGTCACCATTAACTGGAACAACATTGATAAAGGTATGCTATTCGAATCATTAGGTGACAAAATCGTCTGATGGCAGAGCAAGAAAACTCAGAAATATTAAATCAAGTTTGATTGATAATCCGGTAGAAGGGTTGTAGAGTTTGTCTTTAAAGTTTTGTTCGGTTGTTCGTCAATAAGTTTTTAACAAGGAAGCGTTTAAAGTTCACTGAAAACGCTCTCATAAAAATCTTTAACAATTGACCTGAATATGTCAAAATAGAATAGATAAATGGATTTTCTCAAAGTTTGAAATGCCGAAATGAAGAAAAAAAGCAAAACATTTTAGGTTCAGTTGAACATCAACTATCAGAGCCGAGAGGAAATCCCACAAAAAATGACAGGAACAAAGATAGTTTTCCCATGTAATACGTATGTTTATTTCGGTAGTGCTCATTAATAGCTCATGGATGGGCTCATGCCCTATCTGCGTATAAATCAAATCGGTGAGTTACACTTTTTGACCTCGACGTTTCTTTCAACACCTGCAGATCAACAATTTAATTTTCAAAAATACAATCATGGAGAGGCGGATCCCTTGGACCTTCCTTACGATTATGGTTCCATCATGCACTATCGAAAGTACGCCTTCACTGGGAATGGTTTTCCAACGGTCGTTCCAAAGAACAAGTGGGCCACCATTGGTCAGAGGAAGGGCCTTAGTAAAATAGATATCAAGAAGATCAATAAATTTTATAACTGCTCCGCATATACTACAGCAATTACCTCTCCAAAAACCACAGCTAAGCCAACAGGTTAGGAACAGCACAGTTTAAAGTTCTAATCGGTGTTAACAGCGCGATGAATGTCAAAGCGAGGCGAAAATATAAGTGGAAAAATTTTTTTATAAGAAATACGGTAACTTCATTCTGCTTAAGAAATCTCTGCAGCTGTATCCATTCCTTATAAATAACTGCCTTAATTTTCACTTTCTGCCATCTAACCATTTCCTTATACACCCCTATTTTTACGTTCTATTGATTCGTAAAGGAATTTATTTAGGTCTATCGGAGTATTTTAGAAAGTTAATCAATACTGTAACAAAATTCTCAAACGTGAATGGCCAGTAGTCCGATTTCAGCACTAAAAGGACAATGTACACGGTCATCCTTATGATTGGACAGTGTAAATGGACAGTATACGCCTGCGCACATAGTGCGCACGCTTCTGGTGTACATTTAGCCAATAAAACTGTTTTTTTTTTTCATAAAAACGTGTAACCATTATTTAGTTTGTTTCTCAAATTTTGCCATAGTTTTGATCAGTTGGTAAAAGTACTTCGTGTAGTCCAATTCTTTCTGTAATCTTACTCGTGATTCACAAACTGGACTCCCGCTTCGCGGTCCTACGATTTTGTCACTCGGTCGCATGATTAAAGAACGAATTAAAGTTCCCTCAGTCTTATCACTACTACGGACCAAATGTTTGAGAGCGGGCGCCCTGTGGCGTGCGCGGTTACTTTATTTCCTTAATAACTCAAGCAAAGTGATCTAATTAATCATTTGTGTGTCTTTGTCACCAGATCCTCCCGTCCGGCGCCATTGCAGGAACAGGAACATGTATTGCCAAAGATGGGCGTCAGTGGGTTACTGTTTACACCGAAATATGAGATACAGAAAATACATGCAAATGAGCTGCAGAAAAAGCTGTAACTTGTGCTAAGATTGTGTGATCTGGTAGCTTTCAACACGATCTATCGTTTTCTCACTCTTTTGCAACTGCTTCGTAAAACGGTGATCTGACACATAGTGTCTGAAAGCTGCTAACTACAAACGCATGGAACCACTCGATAACAGGATATATATATATATTAATAAAAACGGCGTATTTGTTTAATATTTATTAAATATAGTATTCGCTATACAAGTTATTGGTGTTTTAAATCAATGCACCTGATTCGCCTCTTGGGAGGACTAAGCAAATGGCATTTACATGTAATGGGGTTAATCTTTACGAGATATTAAAAATCAAAACTTTGTCTCGACTATCAGTGTTGTCCCTGCAGTTTAACCGATCGGTAAGCGTCATCAAGTTTTATTTTTGTCCCCTTTCTGTAGTTCATTAGATACTTAACAAATCGACAATGGTTTAGCGTGGTCTGTAGACTAATCGGAACGATTTTCGTCAACACAGTGGTCAAAATGTTGTAGACTTACGAGGTGCAGCCGAGTGAGTCCGCGACAAATGTCGATTTGCTTTTTACCACAATATTTGCTTCAAATAAAACGATTGTTTCAGAGCATGACACATTGCGTGATACGTTGACACGAGCAGCGCTGCCTGTAGTCTTATCAACAACGACAAAGTGGCCAATCAGATTGCCACATTGCTAACATTAGTGGCCGAGAAACATTTCGCAATAGTTTTAGGATTGAGCGCGATGAAATAAAGGTTTACTTTACAGAAATTTCTTAAAAGGTGGGATCGGCACATCATGAAAACTAACAGAAAAAATGTCTTCTTTGAAGAGAGAGCATTTCACTATTTGAATCAGCAAATTATGCCCTGTAGATTCGATGGTGTAATGCCCAGTAGATTCGAAGATATAACTTTTTTTCATTTCTTGATGTGACATTACAATAGATAATAGATATCTCAAAATAATTTCACAGTAGCTTCTCCGGCACATAATTGAAAACGAGACTGTTCTTTGGAGAAATACCTAGATAAGTTTGATTTGCACATCATGGAAACTTTGAAGAAAAATTTATTATACGAAAAGAGAGCATTTTTACCATTTGAATCAGTAACTAATGGCCAAAGTATCATATATTATCATATATTTATTTTGAGAAGAAATAAATAAATACAAAAAAATAAAAGAAATACCCACCCGAATGTAGCAAAGCTAATGGAGTCGCGTGGTTGCAGACAATATTAAAGTATATCAAGGAGGCTGGAAATAAAAATTACAAGGAGATTACAATATTGTTAATTTAGAAAAGTGAAATTGATTCAAACAAGTATATGATTATGTGTAACAACGAAGCAAATGAAGTAAATTAAAGTATGAAACGAAGGTCTCACAGAAATGGGACAGTTACCAATAACATAAGAAATGATCTATGAATAACAGACAAAAGTGAAAGAAGCATAGTTTAATCATTATCGGAGCCTACAGGAGAGACTGATAGAGGAACATTGAGATTCTTGAGGTAGCCCTTATAAATTAACATTACCTATTGTTATCATTATGATTATTGATAAGATCGATATTTGTTACCATTTTTAATAGTAACAAATATTTAACACTCAACCAATAATTAAAATTATAATTAGGCATTTTAACCACTAGTGGCCAAGATGCCACTCGTGACCCTTTGCCCTTTTTGGGGTAGTACTACTTACCGTTCAAACCTTTTGCCTACCAGTGACCGTTTTAAGCATTTTGGCCACTAATGGTCGTTGGGGCATTTTCGCCAGTAAAGGGCATTTTAGGCACTATTGGACGTTTGGGTATTTGTCCATCTAGTGGCCGTTTGGGCATTTTGCCCACTAATGACCTTTGGGCTGTTTTGGCACTAGTGGCCGTTTGGGCATTAGATACACTTCCGAAAATTTGGACATTTTGGCCACATGGGGTCTTTGGGCATTTTGGCTACTATTGACTGTTTGTGCATTTTGGCCACTAGTGACGGTTTGGTCATTTTGGCCACTAATGGCCGTCACGCTATTTTGGCCACAAGTGACCGTTTGGGTACTTTGGCCACTACTAGCCGTTTCGCCATTTTCAGCACTCTTGCCCAGGGACTCCCCATTAGTCGTAGTTTGGGCATTCTCGCCGCTAGTAGCCGTTTCCACGTTTTGGCCATTTCAGCTTTTTAGATCTCTACTGGCCGTTTCAGCAATTTGGCCACAAGTGGCAGTTTTTGGCCATTACTTGCAGTTGAGGAATTTTAACAACTAGTGGCATTTTGGCCATTATGGCCAAGGGCTCCTTTGCCACTTGTCGCCGTTTGGGAATTTTGGGCACTAGTTGCAGTCTCGCAATTTTAGCCACTAGTGCCCATTTAGCCATTTTGGCCACTACTGGCAGCGTGGCTATATCGGCCACTAGTGGCCGTTTCGGCAATTTCGCCACTAGTGGCCTTTAGGCCATTTTGTTGACATTTTGGCCACTATTGGCATTTTGGCAATGTTAGCCACTAGTAGCCGTTTTGCAATTTTGGCCACTTGTAGCCATTTGGGCATTTTGGCAAGTAGTGGCTGTTTGAGCACTCGGGGTAGTTTCGCAGTCTTAGCCGCTAGTGCCCGTTTAGCCATTTTGGCCATTGGTGGTCGTGCGGCCATCTTGGCCACTAGCGGTAAGTTGGCCATCTTGGCCACTAGTAGTCGTTTGGGAATTTTGGCCACTGGTGGCAGTTGGGCCATTTTGGCCACTAGTGGCTGTTTGGCCATTTTGGCGACTAGTGACCGTCTGGCCATTTTTGCCACTAGCGGTAGTTTGGTTATTTTTGCTACTAGTGACCGTTTGGGCATTTTGGCTACTAGTGGAAGTTTGGCGATTATGGCCACCTGTAGTCGTTTCGGAAATTTGGCCGCTATTGGCAGTTTGGCAAGTTTCGCCACTAGTGGCCGTTTGGCCATTTTGTCCACTAGTGGCCGTTTAGCCATTTTGGCCACTAGTGGCCGTTTTGGGCATCATTGTCACTAGTGGCAGTTTGGGAATTTTCGTCACTAGTGGCCGTCTCGGCAATATGGCCGCTAGTGGCAGTTTGGCCACTGGTGGCCGTTTCGGCTGTTTGGCCACTAGTGGCAGTTTGGCCATTTTGGCCACCAGTGGTCTTTTGGCCTTTTGGTCACTAGTGGCCGTGTGGCCATATTGACCAGTAGTGGCCGTTTAGGCATTTTGGCCATGAGTGGCAGTTTGGCGATTTTGGTCACTAGTCAGGCCGTCTCAGCAATTTGGCCAGTAGTGGCAGTTTGGCTATTTTGGCCACTAGTGGAAGTTTGGCGATTTTTGCCATTTTTGGTTACTAGTGGGGGCTTTTTTTTTCCCATGATTTTAAGTGTTATTCTATTTTTAACTTGTAATTAGTTGATCAAATCAGGGCCACAAGTTTATTAGCTTGCAGCTATTACGTGCTACCCTGTATGAATAAAGTCATTATTATTATTATTATTATTATTATTATTATTATTATTATCATTATGTCCCAGAGAAATCAACTGAATGCTACATTCTAATCAGGCAGCACAGGGCGAAAACTGTAACCTGTGAGCCATGCAGTAAAAATATAAATGTACATTAACTAATCCTAAAAAGCTTTTCCGTTGTGTCTACGGTCCTCCTTCTAACAGGAATTCAAACTGCCTCCTTGAAAGTCCGGGCAATATTCAGCGTGCCCGAGAGCACTGCCCTCTGCATCTTTCGCAGTACGTCTGTGCTTCTGCCTCCCACCAGCTCGCGCATCATGACATCCAGCTCCCGTGACCACCCCCCGAGGGCATCCATAATGATGTTATATTGCTTCACCTCGTAGCCTGGGAACTGCTGCCTTAGTTCCCAGCGAAGGGGTCCGTACTTCAGTGTCTTCTCTTCATCCTTTCTTGTCCGATTGTTAACCCACGGGCAGCTCATTTCCAGCGTCACAACTCTCTTGCACATATGATTTACAATGCGTGCATCCACCCTATTGCATCTGACCTCTTGTTGATCAGCATATATAGGGACATCCCAATAAGCTTTAACATTCTCTGACTCATACACGGGCTTCGGCTTGTCGGGTGAGTACCAGGGTGGTATCTCGTCTATAAATCCCTCATCATACAACAGTTGGTAAAACAGTACCTTCAGTGCTGCGTCGTGTCTAGAGAGATACTTGCTCTGGGCCAGCGCACTGCATCCTGACAAGATATGTGCCACACTCTCTGGAGCCTTGCCGCATAATCTGCACCTCACCTCGCCTTCTCCGCTTGTGTGGGTCTTCTGACTCGTGTATACTCGCGTTGGCAATAGCTGCTCGTATAGCTCGACGAGTCCAGCAATTGTGTGTGATGGGCAGTTCTTCCACTCTGTGAGCCACCAGAAACACCCATCGGCACTCAAACTCTCATCCTCCAGCCTAGTAGTCACTAGACGCCCTTGCCATCGTTGGTTTCTGATCTCATCCTCTAACTTCTCAATTTGGCACCTCCGCACCTCTTTCTTGATCCCTTGCGCGTGTTCCAAATCCAACTCCAGCCCCAACTCCTCCGCGCACTTAGCCGCTTCTTTAAAAATTGACCTACGCCCCATCCT